TTGGTTGAAAAACTCTGAAGGATTCTGAAGGCATCCTAAATCGCCAGTGATTACCGTAAACTTCCGGTCTTGGGTGATTCAGTGGCAACGTCAGTATTTTTCATGAAACACAACCGCAAAAGAGGCATTATATGGCGTTACAATCATTATATATTAATATAACTATACTATCATACGGACTTCAGTCATACTCATGATATATGTCTGTCAAGCCCGGCACCATCGATGCTAAGGAGCAAGTCATCGCTCTGAATGCCATACTTGGCCTCAAGTCTTGCGTATCACTTCTTAATATGTCTTTATCCATAGGTGGTCATCATACACCTCAAAGATCCTGCCATCTCCTGTCTGAACAGCATATCAATGCGAATTCAAGACAAATATACCACAGTCACATGAATCACATTCTGGGCAACCCACTGGCTGCCCAGGGTCAACGTGCAGCACATGGGGCGGTTGGCCCGGTGCCACGAACCCAAGTGCACAGCCTGCCAACGGGGTCAGATGCTGAAAGCTGTGAAAGATTCAAACCAGTGACAGAGCCAAGGCAATGTGACAGCATGTGACAGCCAAGGCAATGAAGACCCAATGTATCATGTGAGCTGAATTCATGAAGGAATCCCCAATCGCAACCATCTGCAATGAAGTGTCCTTCCACAAGAAGCACAGTCTCTTCATCTTCGGCATTTGATTGACAAAATGATAGAATGAGTTAAAAATAAGTCAAAATAAGGCGGCAAAGAGCTAGTGCTTACCCGTAGATGTTCTGGCATGGCAGCTTGAGTGCAGTTCCACCTTCAACGACTACGATCTCTGCATCAACTTCGTCAACTTCCACAGGCTGGGTAAGGGTTACCTTCGCTTCGCACAAAATTTCGGAACGTGCCAAAAATGTTGTTGCTGCGCGTTTTGAAAGACTACACACAGATCCATTGTCAGCACGAAGATCATCAAGAAAAGGGCTACAAAAACATCCCGAAACATGCACAACAAAAGAATGTAAAAGAGCCGTCGTTGCCACCTGCATCTCAGCGCTTCAAAGCGGTGAGCGCCTGGCCACCTGGAAACAATTGGCTTCAAAAAACCGGCAAAAGAGGAAAGTAGAAAAGTATATAGATATAATATATATATACATATAAGTAGAGATAAGTAAATGAGAAGTGAATGAGAAGTAAATGAAAAGTAAATGATAAGTATGGATGAGTGTACATAGTAATAAATGGATAGAAATCTTGCGTCGTGACCGAGCCGAACATTCTCATGTGGCGCCCCATGAAGCCTGTGCTAGCACAACATAAGGTCCAGGCCAGCCGGCGGCCCCCAACCGCATCCCGCGAACATGTTATAAGCTTGATACTGCCAAATCAAACAGAAAAGAAGTGGAAAGAAGTGGAAACACGGAAAACACTTGGCAACACAGGCTTGTGCAGGTGTTTTGTGGACTTAAAGCTCAAGAGCACAAATCAATGCGCTATTGATGAATTTGGTCAATTCTTTTCTCACTTACATACTTCATCATACTTCAGTGTCCAGTTGCCTAGAGAGGCCACCCAAAAAATTGGCAAAGGTAAAGAAACCTACATGGCACGCTCTGAGATGAACGACTCTTTTTGGGCTCTGCTCACCAGAACGTTCCGGCAGAGATTTCATGCAGCTCAGATTACCAAGGAAGAAGACTCGGTATATCTGTGAAAACCTCGAAGAATCACAGAGAAGGCTAGAGTTCATCTGCCACCAGATGCTTGACAGCGAGCCAAGAATAGCTAGAGTAACAGATGAAACTCATGAAACACATCGTTCAAGCTGCAGCTGCTTATGCTCTGGGGTTGGGGCCATCGAAAAACGCAGGGATAGGACCTTTTTCACAGGCTCCTATCGCCGCATTGTAGACAATTTGATTGAGACCTGAGTTCAGGTACAGATTCTGGTCAACAGCAGGCTGAAGAAAATGCAGAGGCACTCCAGCAATTAAAAAGATTTAAAAAGAGTGGCAAAACCGATGCCAAAATATTCAAAGTCTCCTTCAGAGCTTGAAAATTTCGCTGGGCAGCTTCAACCTGTGCAGTGGAGCCTCTTGGACCTTTGGACTTTGTGACTTTGTGATCTTTGTGTCCTATGGAGCTAATTCAGGCAAAGAGCTTGTGGCTGTCTGCATAGATCTGACAACTCGCAAGACTCGTCTCCATTTGCCAGTCTTTTCACCTGAAATCATCCATCAACTTCGGCTGTTGGGACTCTTGGGAAGCAAGCTAGTCTGTCAATCCGAAGACGGCAAAAGGCTAACTCCATGTTTCATGATATTATTCTTTTTCCCTCTGATAAAACTCGATCGAGACAAGAGCGTCAAATTTCCCTATTACGAGCAAAGCCACATGCACTGACCGCAGCGCTAAAGCTGATTTGGTCCTGGAGGCGTCTCAGGCTTGGTTACAGACTATACATGGCTGTACTATCTTTACATATATTTACCTTTGGTGTTTATAATTTTTATTGATGTTTATGGCATGCAGCTATCTCTGCCTAGCTGGACTTCCTCTTTTGCTGTGATGTGTGTTTGTTCTCTCCTGTACAGTAGCACCTCCTCGCATCGCTTCCAGCATGCAAAGAGCTGCGGGCCATTCACGGCCCTTTTCACCTTAAAGGATCTTAACGACCCATCCGAAATCGTAACGGTCGTAACGACACATGTCTTGGCAACTGCCAACAGGCTGCCAACAGTTCTCAACATTGTTCTCAACAAGTACTGTCCAGCCCGGCCACCAGGCTCACAGGATCTCAGAGGCATGTCAGCAAAGAGTGCAATGTTCATTGACGTTTATTGATTTATACCGATTGATGATTTATCATGATTTATCATGATTTATCAATAGAAACTGATCAGAACTTATCAATATTGTCAATATTTATCAATGCTTATCGTATCTTATCGTATGCGATGTGTCCAACTCTTGGAGATTTGCACTGATCTGAGACAGTCGCAAGCACTGATGGATGCATTGAACGTAATCACATTTGCTCTTACTTGCCTGGGCTTGAGGAAGAGGCTCGCGACTATTCGAAGCTCAAAGGGTATTGAACGGGTATTAGATGTTCTGGGCGCATCTTGGGTTGAGTCTGCCTTACAAGTAGAACCTGAGACCTCAGACCTGTAAGCACAAGCTCGGTCTGCATCCCCAGCATGCTGAATGAGAGTTGAAGAGAAACTTTCAGAGGTCAAGTTACAAGGGATGAAAGCTAGCTGGGTAAAGAGAGAAGGAGGGTGAGGTGAAAGAGCGGTGTGAGGTACGAAGTGGAGAGTAAGTCTGATACCGACAATGCTGACAATGTTGATGGTGCTGCTGATGCTGATGATGCTGACGGCGAATAAATAGAGACGATGTCCCCAGGTAGTTAAGTGTGGATTTTCTTGGCGATTCCAGCCCCGCCAATAGCTTGCTAAAGCAAGAGGGAATTCAGCAAGCAGAAGCAGGTTCAGAACTTGAAGCTACTGTAGCTATCATGACAAGTGAAACAGGTTTTGAGCCTGAGCCAGATGTATCCAAATGTACTGAAGTAAATGTGTGAATTTGTGAATAGGTCTCTGTTGTTCCAAACATGTCCAAACTGCCAAGCTACGCCACTTTCATTGCAGAAAGTAACTCTAGAGCTTGTGTCCACTGACCTGCCTGCAACACATGGCAACATTTGACGACAACAGAAAAAGATTGCCAGGCAGGGAAGCCTCTTCAACATTTTGCGGAACCAGAAACAGAGATTGTGAGATCCACTGACTCTCCAAAATATTGTGATTCAGTGGGATTTATGACCCGCAAGAAAGCTGGCAGAGAATAGCAAAACGAAGTGGCACATGACATCATATGATGCATTCCCAAAGCCTTCTCACAGGCACTGATGGCAGCACTCCAAGAAACAGTGTCAGTTGCAGGAGAAGCAAACAGCAGCCTCGGATGAAACCGTGATTCAGTGATGATCTCAAATGGTCTCAATCTCAGACGATCTCAGATAGTCTCGAGTCAGAGAGGATAAGAACTTCTAAGAACTTCTAGCAGCCTCATCTCAAAAGTTCGCATCAGCGAACATTGCAATCTAGGAACGCGACAGCCATTTCCCAAGATCCGGTTTTTTCGCATGCGGTGATGGCAGCATTGTAGGTGATGACCTGCAAGCTGGAAGCTGCTTGAAGTTTTGGTACACAACTAGAAGCACAGCTTAACACAGCTTAGCACAGTTTCGTGCCAAAAAAAGGGGTTTCAGCTAAACAACTGCTGTTTGGTCTGCATACTGTAAGACTCTTCCAAGTGGCTGTGGCTGTAGTTGACATGGCAAACAGCAAAGCCAGCGCAAGCTCCCATTCGCTGCCCTGCTAACGAAAAAAACACATCATTGAGGAATGAATTTGCATGTCAGCCCGGCAGCATGCTGACCACTACACAGTGCATTGACTCATTGACAATGGATGCCTGCAATCCATTTTTTAATCGAAAATGAAACCATATTCAATCTGTTGTGTTGCTACAGGTACGCATGTGCTGCACCAGTACGAAACCAAAAACCTCTTAGAAACCTTCGTGTCTAATATTTACACGCGGTGCAAACTAATTATCCAAAGATTTAAATATATATATATATATACATACATAACTACCATACCATACCATACCATACCATGCCATACCATACCATACCGTACCGTACCATACCATACCATACATACATACATTACATACATACATTCATTACATATATATATATATATATATATTACATACAGCGTGTGTGCATGTAACATACATAAATATACATATATATTGTTTTTCATGATATATAATGATATATCATGCATGTGTAATTGTGCATATCCAACTGTATATGCATATGTATATATAATATATTATATATCTATACACATTAGAGGTGAAATGTAAAGTATTGAAATGTCATAAGCCCGACTGCAGTCAGATACTTCTCGCTCGCGTCCTTTTTCCTTCTGGCCACTTCGTAACTCGGTCCCAACCTGCCTCTAGCAGGATGGTGCTTTGGTATGCTGTGCAGGTTCACTCCTGCACAGCAGCACTGGTTAGACTGTAGACTCGTAATTACTCCTGTTCCACAATCCTGTGGATCCAGGATGCTACACAGGTTGAACCTATCCCAACCAGTGCTAGTGTGTAACAACACATAGAGATCAACATCCTCAATGATGTGATCCCCTACAAGGCAGGATGCTCCACAGGAGTCCTGTCTCATAGGGAGGGAGGGATGGGAAAGAAAAATTGATGAAAGCCAGCTTGGCTCACCCTTGAGCCAAAATGTATTCATCAACTTACATGCTCACCCTAATGAGAATGCACACCCAGTGCCTGCCAAACACGATGCATACATACATTAGATGTGAAATGTAAAGTATTGAAATGTCATAAGCTCGGCTGCACTCAGATACTTCTCGCTCACATCCTTTTTCCTTCTGGCCACTTCGTAACTCGGTCTCAACCTGCCTCTAGCAGGATGCTGCTTTGGTATGCTGTGCAGGTTCACTCCTGCACAGCAGCACTGGTTAGACTCGTACTCCTGTTCGGCAATCCTGTGGATCCAGGATGCTACACAGGTTGAACCTATCCCAACGCACTTGGATTCGTAGGCCAGCAGCTTCTCCATAGCCACCCGCAGAATGCGCTTTGTCCTGAGGGAGTGCTCGTAGCGTGCTTACTATAGTGGAGTGGCATCGTGGCTTGCTTGGCAATCTGGCTGCGGTCTGCCCAGTCGCCCAATGAGCACATCTCAGGGTGAACTGCATCAAGGTTGCTGCCGTCGGACCCGCACGTCTCCAAGAGTAGGAAGACAGGTCCTCGACCAGGTGCTCGAAGACTTCCCGGTTGAGGCCGTTGACAAACTTGAGAGTGTATGCGGTACCCTCCGCATCAAAGCACAAGCCTGAGCTGGCCTGCTTGTCCTTACTCAGCGCACTGTAGTCACGGTACAGAGCTGATCCCCAGGACCACGGACCACCCATTCACGAAGTTGGCCGGGATGCCGAAGGAGAATCCTCCACAGTTGGCCTTCTGCTTGGCCTTAGGGCAGAAGCCATGGAAGGTGCTCGGAGTGATTTTCACCGGTCGAGCTCTCATGATGTGCTTGTACCTCAAGACACCATCGTGGGTCTCCCGCCTCGTACATAAATTGGATGCGCTCCTCCAAAGCTGCGATCATGGGTGGCTCCACTGCAACTGCCTGCTCCCGGTTGGCCTTCTTAGTGGGATTCTTCTTCTCCGGCGCTGGCACATCGCTGAAGTCCGAACCACTTCAGTGAATGATAGGCTCGATAAGCCCCACCGGTCCCTGCCTGCAGGAATCCATAGATGTCCAGGGCGTCAGGTGGGAAAATCCTGTCCTTCTGCTCCATGTAGGTCTTGAGTTCCGCCCAAGACTTCAATGCATTCACCACCGTCGCCCTTTCGGCCTCGGTGACCTTTTTCTTGGCCAGGGTATCCAACGCGCTCTGCCATTGCGCGTGCCTCTCAGGGATAAGCTCCCCTTGAGGCCGCATCACCTTTTGCCTGCGAGAAGGCTTTGCACAAGGCTTCAGCACTAAGTAGAACTTGTTCTGGCCCCGGGCGAATGCGAAGAGCCTGCTTCATCTTGCTCTTCTTCAGCATCTTCAGCATAGAGGCTTTCGGCACTGGTAGGCTCATGGTTGGCCGATCAGTGGATCCCGAACTCTCTGCAACGGCTGCCGCCCTCGGAATGAGATCATCCTCTATACTCTGGGTACGAGCTTGAGGCCAGGTGTCCGCTACATGGTGTCCTCCATGCGCGACTGCACTATCGCAGGAGGCAAGTGCAAAGGCGAAGCCTGTCTCGTCAAGAAGGCCCCATTGAGATCTTCATTGCTCCACCCTGGTCGCCGCTACCCGCTCCATCCCGGTATCAGCTGAAGGGGTCTCCTCCCCAGCAGCTTAGACTGCATAGGCCGTGGGTGGTAAGCCATTGCTGCACCCGATGTCACTGCTGCTACAGAGCGTCCGTGCTGGGCCGAGACTGCAGATGGTACCTCAGCGGTTTCATGTGCGACACAAACATCACTAGGCCGCTGATGCTGCTGCTGGGCTCTGACGGATGTTGGAGTGACAACCTGGACATTGGGCGGGTGGACAGACACTGCATAGGGAACAGAAACATCGACTGCATAGCTCTGGAGTGGGCAGTCCACAGGTGGCACTGAGCCGCCCCCACAGACCTGACTGCCTGGGCGCGTGGTGCTCTACGCTGCAATGTACTCCAAACATCCCATAACTCGGCGAGGCCATGCTGTCACCGTGGTGCTCGATGAAGGCAACCAAGCCATAGATGTTGTCAGGGACAAAGTCTGATGCTGTCCACTGCGTCCGAAGCGGCTGGATAAGCAACAAATCCAGCTGCGCCTCACCAAGGCGCTCATAGCCGGATTGCCAGGCAAACCGCGTGTCACTCCCGGGCAGAGCCAAGACAGCTGAACTGTTCCAAGTTCCGAGCCAAGAGAATCTGAACACACCCGAAAACTCCGAACAACGCCTGCAGCTCGCGACAACACAAGGTGCCCTTCTGAACGGGGGTAAGCCATCCACTCCCAACCCAATTGGATGCGGGGGAAAGTGGTCAACAAACTGATGACCACAGGCGAACCGCCTGCGAAATAAGCCCTTGCCGCAATAGGCCCCCCACGTAGGTCTTAAACTCGTGGTAGACAGCAGCGTGGAGCACCTCAGCATCCGTATTGGCCGCAACGTTCCACCCAGGGCGGACAACAAAAGCCCTAGGCATGGGTTGGGGAAATGCCAACAGGCGCTGCCACTTTTACTTTGGGGTAACACCCCAGTAGTGGAAGAGGGAATCCACCTTACACTAGGGATACGCCCTAGTAGTGGTGTGGGTAACGCCTACCAAAGAAAAATTGATGAAGCCAGTTTGGCTCACCCTTGAGCCAAAATGCATTCATCAACTTACATGCTCACCCTAATGATAATGCACACCCAGTGCCTGCCGAACACGATGCATACATAATCATGATCATAATTGATCATATCCATACTACTACTGGTACATGCAGATGTTTGTGCAGAAAGATAGTAGACTGCAAGACGCTGGAGTTTTCTTTATTCTGGCACCTTGGAGAAAGCGCTGATGACAGAGTTGTAACCTGCACACAGACATTGTGTAGGCGCAAACAAGGCATGCATTGCAGACAGTCTAAACAAGGCATTCTTTGTGCCACAAATCAAGTCAACGCAATAAGTGCAACAATAGAGCTGATCTCGTCTTTCTGGATTCGAAGATCTCGCATACATTGAAGCAGCAACACTGCAAGCTGCCATTGACCTCATGCCATGGAAATGTTTTAGGGGACGAAACTCCGAGAGGTTTGCATCGTGGTGTACTAGATTCACCTACATTTACCGAACATTTACCGAACATTTACATCTAGTCAGTCAACCCGGGTCTTCTACATGCCGCAAGTCCCGCTGTCAAATTGAATGTGTCCTGCGTCCTTCAAGCGCTGCAACCGCAATCCGTGAGCATTCCCATGTCTGAGATTATTGCTTCTATGAATATATTAATATAATATCATGTAATATAATATAATATAATATAATATACAGTAACATAACATAATATATTATAATATACAGTAACATAACATAATATATTATAATATATATAATCTCTACCAACTTTCTACAGGTTCTATCTGGTTATCTGAAATCCCTCCCCAGCCCGTTGTGGGCCTGCTTTTTCACAAGCACTGATGGCACCTAGGCTAGCGTCTGGCGCATAGCCCTCGCACAAGAAAGAAGTACTGTACTGAGCAACAGGTGCAATGTGTCGACAAGGCTTGAATGAGTGCTACGTTGCCTAAACCCATCAACGACCTATAGCATTTCTGGGCTGAAGAGTGATCTGATGTGGAGTTGAATTTGTGCGCATGCACTTTTTCACTTTAAGAGTTGCCACGAATGGAATGAATCTGCGACGGCGTTTCTGGCAAAGAAGTTGCTTTTAAAGTTTCCTGAAGTGCTCCCAGGATGCTATTGAAATGACTTGAGTCAACAGGGAGGCGCTTCGATGACATCGAGAAGAGCAAAGATATGGCAGTTCCCCACTGATCACCTGAAGTCAATGACTGTCCATGACCGTTTAGTTGTAAGATGTTTCTGTTTTAGGTAAATCAAGTGGCTCGGTAAATCACCGCTGTTAGCGTAGAATTCAGTCGCGCTTTCTAGGACTGAAACTCCAAGACTCCTCAAATCCTGAAATTGACTGAAGGCCACCCTTTCTCTGCGACAAATACAACTGCTTCGATACGTTGAGGTAAGAACTCCGTACCGGCGCCGCTTCACATCCGCTTATCGAAGCAAGGAAAGTGACATCCTAGGGATAATTTGAAACGAACCAATGCAATTCCAATGCGTATTGAACTTTCTTGAAGTGGCTTTTTCCAAAAAAACAGCATGCTTCAGCAGTTTCTAAATCCCTCCACTGGATCAAGCCAAGGCTCAGTAGGTTGCAAGCAAAAGCCCCTCGTCTGCTGGAAGAGTAGCAGAACTGCCTCCAATCGCTTCGATCCACACTTCCCAGAAATGCGCCTTTATATGTTTCACTTGTTTTCTATGCTTTTTCTTTTTGCATAGGTGTTCGTTCACATGTGCTCACTTATATATATATATTGGAACTTAGGTATAAGTGTTACTTTTGCGGTAGGGTGTGGCTTCGTAGCTCATTGGGTCAAGTTTCAAAGGGCAGTGCCTCTCTGAGGGGCTTGCCATAGACCCATGGGGCCGCGCATCTGTTTGGTTGCAATGGCTCTGACAGGTGTCTGCGAAGGCTGGTGGTGGAATGTCACCCAGCCGCCAGATGAGGTCCACACGCGATGGACGCAATTCAAAGCAACCTTCCCGAAGACCGAGGCCGAGTTTAGCAAGTGGTATCAATGGGGCCAGGATGGCCTGGGAGCATTTCCTTGGGGTTGGGAATTTTCCGCTAGCCCGCCCTTGGAGTTCAATGCATGGATGCTGCTGGATACGCTATTCGGATTGGTGGGATGGGCGTTGTTTGGCAGCGCGTGGGGAGGAGTTAAATCAGGATGCCGACGATTGATACAGATCATCGCGGTCTTGCTGGTATGTTTGGCAGCACACTACGTGTGGGCCGTATGCTACCCAGTGGTTTCGATTCTGATTGCTTGCATCATGGCAGTGGTGTGGTTGTTGCGAAGAACCCTGAAAACCATCGGCACCCTCTTCTTCTACATCCAACGTTGGACAGGAGGCGCACCCGAAGCAGCGGATACAGAATTTTTTGGTCCAGGAACCGGGGCTGTACCCGAAACCACGGTGCTTAGAGGTTTCAAGAAGTCCGGAGATAACCCTAAGCAAGTGGTTGTGCGTCGTGGTGATGAGGTGGCTGTTTTTTCAGTGGGATCGGACTCCCAAAGCATCAGGACGCATGGCTTGTACCTTCAGGTGGAACCGGACACTGTACGTGGTTCTGCAAATCTGGTCAGACGCCTGAACGCAGTGGACAAGGTACATTTGTGCCGGAATTTGGCCTGCACAGAGGACGCATCGGAGCACTTTGTGGAGTACGGGGTCGTGAAGAAGTTCAACGCAGAACGTTTTCAGGTTTCACAATCGCATCAAGGTGCCCTGGCTTTCACCAAGCAGTTTTGGGCATGGGCCGCCCCTAAGGGGCAGCGAACGGTGACTGAAGTAGTGAACCGGATCAAGGAGTACGCTTCTGAGTCCGAGAATGAGGAGCATTTCTGCTGCGCGTCCCAAATCACTTGGATGACAGATGAGGGTTTGAAGAGCCTCGCCGAAAACCGGTGTGGAGCCGTAGGTCAGCCGTTTCACCAAGCACTTGAAGGCGATCTGCCCAACGGTAGCACTGGTAGTCTCTGTTCGAAGCATGCCACACTCTACTTGTCAAAACGTTTTGGTGATAAATGTGGTGTTGTAGGCTGTTTCAGGTGTGGTGACAAGGTCCAATCAGGTGTGAGGTGGTGTACCGACCATTTGCCACAGCATGGAAGCCAGCCTACTGCCCCTGCGACTCGGATGAGATCGCGCTCCAGAGCACGCCGCAGAGAGGATGCTGAGGAGACCGACTTCGAGGCAGCTGAGGAGATTGGGGAGGATGATGAGGACCCTGACAACGGAGTGAGGCCGGGAAGAAGACCAATTGAGGAGTTGACCCAAGAGGGGGGTCCAGCTCGACGGTCAAGGAAAAGGCAGCCGACGAAGTCCCCTGGACACACTCCAAAGTCGAACATCCAGCGGAACCTGGCCAGGATTGAGATGTTGAGTTCGCCGGGATCTGAAGCTGAGGTGAAACTGCTGGACGCATTCATCCAGAAGTTCGCTGATGGCCGCATGGAAGGGCTGCGAGAGGATCAGGTGAGGAGTGCACTCTGCAGGGACCGGGTGATGACAGAGGTAGAAGTTTTGAGGAGGCTGTTGGAGGAGGCTGACGTCGAGAGAGGCAAAGGCCAAAGGGGCCTGACGAGGTTTGTCACAAGGTGGACGAAGGAGTTAGCCGAGAAGGAAAAGGTGAGCCCGGAGTCGGATTGGAGCCTCCTCTCCACGGTGCAGAGCTCGCATCAGGAGAGCCCAGGTGTGCAGGCCCCCCCCATTCCGCCTTCCTTCACAGCGAGCAGCAGCCCACAGGAGGGTCAGAAAGAGGATGGATCTGTGTTCAACCCGCCCCAGGTGAGGGTGTATGGGAGATCAGGAGACGGACAGATACCTTCTGAGGCATCAGCGGTGAGGAGAGCAGAAAGTTTGAGGATTGCACCTCCAAGCCTCTACAACCCAAATGAGCGCAAGGCAGGAGCTGTTGAGGAGCCAGTGGAGCAGATCGCCAAGGCGTTGCAGAACCAGACAGCTGAGCTGGCAAGCCTGGTCAGGCATCAGGCCGAAGGGGCCGGCTCACAACCTGTGGGTACGCTGAAAGGCCTGGGGCGACAGTCGGAAGAGCTGGTTTTCCTGATGAGAGCCTGCGGACAGTATGACGTCAAGGTGGGCGAGAACGAGCATGGCCAGGCCTTAGCCAATGGTTTGTTGGCTGCTCAGGTGGGGTCGGCTACGAGACTTCGGAGCTCTGGATTCCGTCAGAAGATGACACAGAGGTTGGCGATCGGACTAGCCGGGCCCTACTGGGGGGCACATGAGAAGCATGCCCTTTCAGCGGCGGACTTCATTGGCTACACCGACGCGGAGCTGGACCAGTTTGCATCGGAGGCCAGAGGACCGAAGGGAGGAGCGGAGCAACGCCCCCCGCCGCCCACAAGGTTCGATGAATGGGTGGCTCGAGTGAGGCGCCAAACGGATGTGTGGTGCTTGGTGTATGGGGCTGAATGGAGGGCCGTCAAGAATAGTGCCCTGGAGCTCCTGTCGGAATGGCACCTGAGCCTTCCACATCGGTGGCCGCTGAACGTGATCATGGACCTGTGGGAGGAACTCCATTGGCGATGCATGGAGGATTTCAAGGACCTGCTGAGGAAGCTCAAGAAGGAAGTTGGGAGGGAGACCATGACGCTCTCGGAGGTGAAGTTTCATGCGCTGCTCCCGGGACCTGATGGGCAGGCTTGGTTGACCATGCCGACAGTCTTTGACCTTCAACGGCCAGGATCATGGTTTCAGGAGGAGGTGATCCCTCGGATTGACCGCAAACAGGACAGACTGTTGTGGAATTTGACGTGGCAAGGAAATCAAAGGAGGGAAAGACCTTGCTGAGGCTGGCGGAACCTGGCAAAGAGAGGAGACAGTGTGTCACGTTGAGCCTGGCTGCAGCTCTGTTCAGGAAGAAGGAAGGCCGATGGCCATCAATGGGCGAGGCTCAGAGACAAGCGCAGGAGTTGCGCCTAGAACAGGCGAGACTGGCTACTGAAGCAAGGGCAGTCTTGGGAGAAGCAGAGGAGATGGTTGCGGCAGTCGAGCATGAGGCCAGGATCTACGTGCACGACCTAGTCACTGCAGCTCGTCCGTCATGAACACCTCCTCCTTGTAGTCCATGAAATGCCAACGGCGTCCGTCAACCTCCACTGCTCCTTGTCCCGGTCCCTCGCCACTCCATTGGGTGGGGTGCACGTGCAGCCTCGACGATCCTGCTCTCAAGTCCCCTCCTTGTTCCAGGAAGTCTGCCGCCTCATTCGCCAGCTCACCCAGTCCATAAGTGGCCATCTCAGTCATGAGACTCGTAAAGTCCACCTCTGGCTCCCTTGCCACCCGAGCCGCCGCCCATGCATAAAGATCATCTGATGCTCCTTCAAGCCTCTTGAGGACCTCAATGTCTCCCAGCCTCTGTGCCTGCTGTACCAGTTGGTGGGCCAGGACAGGTGCACTCTCGCCTTCCCGTCCTCCATGCTCTCTCACCGGTGTGTGAGCAGGTTTTCCCCAGTCTTTCTGGGGGCCCTGAACCAACTGCCGTACGTCCTCATCCATTGTGTAGTCCACCTTGAACTCCTCAGGCGGCTCCCAAAACCGGACATGTCGTCCTCCAGATCCAGCCTTTGCATCATTCTGCTCCGGCCCACTGACCTTCTCCTGGTCCTCCACTGCCTGCCTTCCTTCGTGTCCTGCTCGTGCTGCCTGTCGCTTCCCATCTGCAACCTTGTCCTTCTTCTCCTTCTCCACCTTGGATCTGATTTCCTTGATCTTCAGAGCGACACTGTCCTTGGTTTCGACTTTCATCCTCCGAAGTCCTCCTCTCTTCAAAAGCTGCATCTGCACACATGGGTCCAAACTTTCAAAGGATCCTCTCAAAGCCTCATGGGATCGCTGGCAACCGTTCACTCCACAACCCACATGACATAGGTTTCCCCAGCACAGCAAATTGCCATTGCGGTCAAGGGGTGCTCTCTCCTTCGCTCTGCTGACCTCTTCTCCACTCAGCTTGGGGCCCCATAGCGCCTTCATGGTTGGCTTGTCGCCTTCTCCTCCTGCAGTGGGGGCCGTCACTCCCTGCAAACCATGAGAAGGATTTTCGGTCCTTGGCCATGTTCCCAGTGCAGGAATTGCAGGAGGCAAGGATTGTGGTTCTGAGGGCGGATTACAAAGGAGGCCTGGTGGTTGAGAGTGTGGTGGGCTCCCAATGGGAACCGGGAGGTTGGATCTTGCCGGTCCTCATCTGGAAAGGTCATATGGTCGCACTGCAGCCTCCAGAAGGTTTCAATGTTGAGGAGTTCGTCTTGCAGGAGGAGTACGCAGCCACCCCAGCGTTGGGCTTCACTTTCTTTTGGCACTCGCGGCATGATCAGGTGAAGTCAGCACCGGGAAGAATTCATTGCCGCCTCTGCAAAGCGGACAGGAGAGCTGGGGAGATCTTTGCACCATGCAGGAGACACAGCTGTCTGGCTGCGGTGGCGACTATGGGTGCAGGAAAGACGGGGCCAGTTGTCATGAGGGAGCTTTGCATGGCGGGCAGTGATGGTGTGCAGACGCAGCTGGTCTTGCAGGAGGTGTTCGCGGGTACTGGGCGAATCACAGAGGCTTGGAAGAGGAGTGGTGTGGCAAAGCAGCCGATTGAAGTTTTTGAGGAACCGCACCGGCGCCGAGGCTACAGAGCAGAGCATGACTTGCTGAAGAAGGAGGTACAGCAGAAGGTCAAGCAGTCGTGCAAGCAACGTGATGCAAATGTGTGGTGGATCGCGGCCCCTTGTACCAGCTACTGTGATTGGCAACTGCAAAATGGTGGATCACGCACCTTTGAGGTCCCAGAAGGAACCGGATGTGGGCCTTTGGCGGAGCGGGAGAAGGAAGGAAACGAGCTGTCAACCTTTGCGGCGGAGCTCTTCCTGGAGGCCCTGGAGGATCAGCAGTTTCCGATTTGCGAATCATCTGCGTCAAGTGGCAGATACCCCAAGCAGTGGGACCTTCCGGTGTGGAAAGCAATTTTGCAACGTGAGGACGTGGATTACATCGACTTCCCGATGTGTGCTTGGGGCCTGGGCCCACCAGACGAACCAGGATGCTTCTACGTCCACAAGACCCGCCTGGTTTTCCCGCGCCATGGACCGCTACGGCAATTGCTCCTACGGCAATGCCCAGGTCTGGGGCCGCTCCACAAACATGTGGCTTTGAAAGGAGCTCGTGAGGGGCTCGATGTGACTCGTTGTACGGAGGCAGGAGCCTATGCCTGGGATTTTGTCACTGCAGTGGTGTCCGTTTTGCAGTCCACCTTGGGTGTGATGGGGGGGGGCTGGTTTCAACCACAGCTCAGTGGGCATGCAGGAGGCAAAAGAGGCAGAAGTGAGGAGAACGAGGAGCAGCCCAAGAGTCAGGAGACGGTCGTTGCCTCCCCAAAGTATCACACTGAGGAGGAGTTGGCCGAGGCCGCAAAGGAGGCAGGCGTGGACAATCAAGAGAGCATTGATGAGATGTGGAGTTTTTTGGTTGAGGATGAGAAGCAGCCCAAGCATCGTAGAGGCAATGAGGAGGAGAGTGATGAGAGCCAAACGAATGCAGGAGAGGAGGAGTACACTGGCAGGTGGTGCTCTGCAGAAGGCTTGGAGCAGCAGAACCTCATTGATGAGATTTTGGATCAGAAGGGTGAGACGGAAGCTGCAGGAGGACAGGAGTCGCCTGTTGAGGCTGAAGCCATTACCGGTGGGGCCCTGGCTACCGAGGAAGAAGAGGACGAAGGGCAACCAGAGGTTGAGGATGAGTATGAGCCGTCGCTGGCGGAGTCCGGTGAAGGAGAGAAGATTGGAGCGCTGGAAGCAACAGAGGAGGAGACAGAAGAGGAGGCTATGCCCAGCGGGACGCATGGTGATGACCCACCATGGGAGGAGCCGGTTGTGGCAGATTTTTGGGAAGCGCCCAATCTGAAGGACGGCACCGTGAGGAGAGTGCATCCGGTGAGCAGGAGGCATTTGTTCGTGCCACCAGCAGTTGGGCCGCCGTGGATCGGACAGGTGTCTGAGGAGAGGCGCACCATCCTGATCAACCATCGTGGTGTGCGCGTCCGTGTGGATGACAATTGGAAGGAAGCCGGGGAGGTAGACATAGGATATGGTCTATGGACGGGCTTCACAATTTTTCCGCTCAAGGAAGTGCACATCGATTGGGAAAGATGGAGGAACTATGGGTGGGGCGACGACGGCAGCTATGAGGATGATGAGGAGGAACCGGAAGAGGAGCGAGAGGATGAAGGCGATGGCCAGGAGGCCAGGAGGAGCGGAGCTTCAGGAGAGGAGCCCCAGAGGGCTGGAGGATCTTCCCCGAGTAGCACGTACAAGGCACCGAATGCAGAGGCTCGGATGGCAGCAGAGGAGTACACGAAGGCAGTTGACAGTTTTGACAACACGGCAGTCGGCTGGGCTACGCTGGTTGAGAAGGGCAACAGGTTGGTCCGCGATGCAGGCAGTGTCCAGGGAGCGGCAGAGAGTTTGTGGCAGGTGCGGGAGGAGAAGGGTCTGATGAACTTGGCGGGCATCGACCAGGTGGAGTTCGACTCAGTTTTACACCCTGACCATCTGTACTACCTACGTCAGGTGCGAAAGTTTGGAATGCCTGCACGATATGTGGGAGATCGGCACCGAGTGAGAGCCAAGTTGCATCCGAATGCAAAACGGAATGTGGATCAGGTTTTCCAGCAAGTGGCGAAGGACGTGAAGAAGCACAGAGTCTTGGTGGCCGACAGCATGCTCCCAGAGCTCGGGTCGACGGTTTCTTCCCCATTCGAGGCCGTGGACAAGATGTTGCCGGACCGTACGATCAGCAGAGACAAGAGGGTGGTGCATGATCAGAGGACGGTGAACTGCGGTACGTCCAAGTTTTGGCACCCGCCGGCTCTGCAGCCTTTGCATTCACAGGTGGCACGCAGAATCTTGTGGGCCAAGCACAGATGCCCGGGGCTACCAGTTTTGATGGCGAAGAAGGACATCTCAGGAGCTTTCCGTTTGCTGTGGGTGGACCCTGCTGATGTGGAGCTGTTCGCAGGGGATTTACCGTGGCAACCTCACAAGGCGTTTCCGGGACAAGAAGACGGACCTGAGAACCCGGTCGAAGGGGACATCACGGTGGTGTACCTGGTTTCCTCCTTTGGCTTTAGCGGCAGCCCCGGAGAGTGGTGCATGTGGGGAAGGGCTACGGAGGAGTACCACAGGGCGCATCGACCCACCACAAGTAGACGAGACATGTCAGATGGATTTGACGCCAAGGTACTGGTTGACGATTGCATCCTGGTCGAGCCATGGGTAGGACTCCGGCCGTGGGTCAGTGCCGAGGTTTTTGAGGACGGAGTGGTGAAAATGCTTGGCACCCAGGCTGTCAACAAGGAGAAGGACGAGGTGGAAGGTGTCTTCCGTACAACACAGACAGTGTGGGGCATCATCCTTGAAACCGACACCGAGAAGGCCACTCTGCCGGAAAGACGTATCCAGAAGGGTGCAGTTTTGATGTCGGGCGACGCCTTTGACTATGGGAGCAAAACCATCACTCTGAAGGAGATGCAGTAAACCATCACTCTGAAGGAGATGCAGCAGTTTCGAGGCATCCTGACAGGCTGGGCCGCGATCATTCCTGGGTTGGGAAACGAGCTCAAGGCGGCTGACAAGTTTTTGAAAGGAGTGGATGGCAGTGCAACGGTCAAGGTGAACCTCAAAGGAGATGGCTCAGAGCAGTGGGAGACGGAGACAGCCTGGAGTGATCTATGGGAGCTTTTTGAGGTTTGCAGATGGCTGAGTTCGAGGACGGCCCAATGGGACTTGCTCTTCTCGACTTCGCTGAAAGAGATGTTACCACCTCTGGAGAGGTTGGGTTTGCCCGGGCAATGGGAAGAAGCAGTTTTTGTCTCATCGGATGCAACCACGGCGGTGATTGGCGCCATTGACTGGAAGTTCGGCTATGCCTTCAGGGAGAAGTATGCTAGCTTGAAGCCATGGATCCTGGAAGTGCTCACGGATGCGGAGGTGCAGTCTGAGGGCCCAGAGGTGGTGGTGCATCTAGCGGAGATGCTGTCTTTCGTGGCCTTTGCATGTGCCAGGGCGCCCCAATGGCAAAGGAGGGTCGTGGTGTATGCCGGGGACAACATGGTGGTGAAGCGCTGGCTACAGGGAAGGAAGAGCAAGGTGAGGGGTGGACGTATTCTCATCAGAATCATCAACATGTTGGAGATGAGGTGGAAGATCCAAGTGCTGGCCGGGTGGTGGAGGACATATCACAACGTTGATGCGGACTACATCACTCGGTGCACTGATGAGGAGTTCATTGACCTGCTCAACCGGAAAGGATGGGTTGAGGAAGATGTGAAGCCAGCAGTGGCGCAGGCTCTCAAAGACCCCCGCCGTTTTGGGCCGTGTTTCCTATATGGGGCTGACGATCAGGAAAGAGAGTTGCTCATGCAATTGCGTGAAAAGAGGATGAGCCGGCAGTTGCAAAAGGAGCCGAGCATCCCCTGGCCGAGCATTCGAGTGGTGGAATGGAGGGCTGAGGGCAGAAGGGTCCTCGATTTTGAGGAGGCGGCCATTTTGTTGGGCGCACGGTTGGAGGCAGGGCAAACCGGTGAGCCTACAATTTTGTGTGCGTCGTTGGGCATGGATGAACAAGGACGGCACCTACAACGGGTTCTGGAGGCTGCGAAGACGGTCGGAGCTTGGTTGGTGCTGGTGGAAGGCCCGCGCGCAGTGGCATGGGACTTGGGAGAGAGGAGATGCCAACAAAGAGGATGGGACAGCAGGCTGATCGAGTTTGTGACCACCGAACTTGGAGAAGCGATGGCCAGGAGGAGACGTTGTCTGGTGGCTCGACCTGGAGGAGAACTTCCAGAGGAATGGAATGCTGGACTGGTGCGTGTGGGGGCTCCCCTGCCAATTGGGACGGTGCTGAAACAGAAGCCTTGGGAGGACTTGGTGTGGAAGCGCCCCATGAAGTTGGAGCTCGAGAGTGGCATCCCAAGGGAGCGCATGTTGCCGTGCCCGACAGGCCACTACTATTGGGAGGAGGAAGACGAAAGAAGAACATGCCACAGCCTTGATGGGCCATGCCTATGGCCGAAGCTCAAGGAGGGAGGCAAAGGGATTGAGGAGATGGTGGTTTTTGACAGACGAGGACCACCTGGCCATGTTCGTGCACTGACCTTGGAGGAGATTTGGAAGCTCCAGGGCAGAGATGACCGAACGCTGAGAGGTACGAAGGCACAGAGAGAGGAGCTGGTCGCAGAAGGAAGTAGAGCAACAGGAGCACAGACCGCAGCAAGCCTGCTGCTATGGGGAGGCCATTTGGTGGAGACCTTCATGGAACAGCAGGTGCGAAAAGCGGGTATGTGCACAGAGCAGGAAGGGCCAGAGGCTTTGGCACAAATCCTGGTTTGGTTGAGGAGATGGCGCAGAGGAGAATTTGAGAGACGAGCGGGCGGCCTGTGGAGCGAGGATGAGTGCAGCTACACGGTCAACCGCTGGACAGAAACGTGGTGGATCTCCATGATGGACGAAGACACCGACCATGAGGAGGAAGAGACAGAGCATCCTACGAAGGCAGGTGGGAGGAGTAAGAAGCTCACCAATCAGGAGGTTGCAGAGAAGGTGTCCAAGCAGTTCATCACGAACGTCGGCTTGACAGTCAGACCTTTTTGCGGAGAGGTGAGTGACCGTGTGGAGGAGTGGCTGGAGGAAAACATGCAAGGCGACAAGAGCCCAGCAACTGAGAAGGCATACGCCAGTGCATGGTCCAAGTGGAAAGCCTGGGCCAAGCGTCAAGGATGGGTCTCGGAGTACCTTGATCGCTCAGAGGACGCAGTGGAGCGTGAGAACAAGTTGCTGGCCTACGTGGGTTACCTAGGTTGGCTGGGAGCTTCGGTCAACACGATCCGGCAGAGCATCTTCGCGATCAAGTTGGCCCACAAAAGGGTAGGAGCAGGAGACATCACAGAAGGGATGCACAGGGTATGGATCCTTCTGGGAGGTTTGGACCGGAGGAGCACCTCGAGGAAACCGAGAAGGCTGGGAGTGACACAGGAGATGTTACAATGGCTTGGCGAAGAGCTGATCGGAAAGGCTGAGAGGCAAGGACGAAGAGCTGAGCTAGCAGACGCTTCGATGGCCTTTGCGGCATTGAGCACGGCCTGGTTCTTCATGTTACGGTGCAAGGAGTTCGCCGAGTCCAACGGAGTTGATCGAGACATGATCTTGCGAGGCTGCGATGTCAGGTTTTCCACAGATGGTTTGGCAGTTGGGTCGCAGGCGGAGGAGGTCACAGTGCAGTTCCGAAAGACCAAGGTGGATCAACTGGCCTTTGGTGAAGCAAAGACTTTGAAGGCTACGGGCAGAAGGTTTCTGTGCCCAGTTGAGGCGCTTTGGAGGATGAAGGCCTATTGGCCAAGGAGGTTTGCGAAGGATGCAATGACCAGCAGAGAGCCGCTGTTCCGTTGGGCAAGTGGGAGTGTGCTGAAACGCCTGGAGATCCAGCACCTGTTGCATAAGGCAGCAGAAGGAGTCGGCTTGCCAGGAGATCGTTTCCTGACGCACAGTTTGCGCATCGGAGGGGCCACGGCTTTGTATCAGGCGACAGCCGACATTGAGTTGGTGAAGAGGATGGGCCGCTGGACGTCATCTGCAGTGCACAGATATTTGGAGGATGGCGTCACGGTGGCCAATTCATCTCAGAAGATGGCTGACGTTCGAATCAAGCACACATAGCCATAGAACACAAACAGGAGCCATAGAACACAGTGGAGGCTTGGGTTTCAATAGAGATCGTTAAGGGCCACAGACCACAAAGGGTAGCGAGATGGAAGGCCGCAGAACACAAAGGAGAAGCCACAGACCACAAAGGTTTCAACTGTGCCTGACGGCCCAAAGTTTGAAGTGCATGAAGGTTGCTGAAGGTAACTGTGAATTTGGAGTGTGTTGGGGCATGCTGGCATAGCCACAAAGGCATGTAAAGGCCAGTGAGGCCCTGAGGCGCTGAGTTTCTACGGTGTGCGACGCCGCCAAAACGATGCTGTGGCTTTTGGTCGTACACATCCGCACGCCAAAGTTGGAACTTAGGTATAAGTGTTACTTTTGCGGTAGGGTGTGGCTTCGTAGCTCATTGGGTCAAGTTTCAAAGGGCACCCACCCCTGCCGCCCGGGGGCATGCTGGCATAGCCACAAAGGCATGTAAAGGCCAGTGAGGCCCTGAGGCGCTGAGTTTCTACGGTGTGCGACGCCGCCAAAACGATGCTGTGGCTTTTGGTCGTACACATCCGCACGCCAAAGTATATATATTGTTTCGCAGTTTTGCATAATCCCAGCAGAGTTGGAGGCTAATGCGGGTAATCGGTGCCCCCATGCCTGCCACTTACCCTGGTTTCGGCAGGCAGTCATGGCTGCATTGCAGCTGGTGATCGACGACTGCGCCTTGGTCTTTGGCTTCCGCCCTAGGACTCCACGTAGAGCTCAAAAGATGAGAAAAAAATGGAAAAAAAAACAAATCACATCAAATTACACCCAATTCACCAAATGATACCAAATGATAACTCGATAAAATCCGATAAAACATCCATGGATGCCATGAACGTATGGTGCCCATACAAGCCGTGGAGCCAGACCCAGGGCATGGCACCAACTAGCTATCACAGCAGCACGGAAAGGCAGGTTCCCAGGAAAGGGCTCTTCCTGCAGTCCAAGCACAAGCTCACCAATCAACATGATCAACATTGCATGTTGAAGATTGTTGAACATGTCATGTGACGCGACATGGTTTATCCAGCAGATGGTCACACCGCTTCAAACCCATGTCAGGTCAAGACAGTGCACTGAAGACATCTGAAGACTCCGCAATCTTCGTAGGCCACAACTGATCGCATAACATGCACAACTCAAATGGAGCTCCGGGCGTTGTCCTGACACATGATTTCAAGCACCGACAACGACCTGACACAACGATGAACAGTCAATACACAGCAATGTTGTTCAAACTGACAAAATGCTCAAGATTGCTCAAGTACTTTCAAACACGTTCAACTCATGTTCAAATGTTCAAAAGCATATTCCCGCTAAAAAACCTGGCTGAGTCCCGAACACTGGCCATTCTCTGGCTGTTGAGCTCACAGATGCTACCCAGGTAACTGGAGACGGAACAAGCTGCCACCTGGCAGCCGCCCAAGCGCAAAGGTGCCACGGTCGAACATGGACAAAGAACATCAAGTTACTGACAGACTCCTCGCCAGCATGTTAGAATTACTTAAAACTGTACTTCAAATGATTAAAATGATTAAAAGCCTTGCTGTTGGCATCATACATGTTATCGCATGTTATCACCGTCTCTGGGTCTAGAGACTGCGTCTCGACGGTGGCATTCAGCTGCCAACTTGCAAGAATCTAGCAGAGTCTAGCATGCCATCAGGGCACATCTGGAAAAGGCTTGGAATGTCTTGAAATCCTTGGGAGCTGTCATGTCATGGGAGTGCGGAATGCCAAGTTGAATTCTACCCAGGCATCGTGTCTTGCCTTGTCATGCCTTGCTTGAGTTGAAGTGCAAGTTCCCATTTGTCGCCTCAACCCACAGGCACTCCATGTGCAACAAATGTACAAGGATGTACAAGGTAATGTTGATGAAACTCATTGAAACTCCCTACAAAGCTTGTCCCTAGGCCCCTAGGCAGATCCTCCCATCTGCCCTGGAATCTTCAGTGATTTGCCTTGCTCGCTGGCAGCTATCGCAGTATTGACCGTGACCTCGCTTGGAACCAGCCTGGCGCAATGAAAGTGGTCTGGTGATGCAGATTCTACCGTTGCAACATTAATAATACATTAATACATATTAATATACATATTAATACTACAGTGTGTGTGTGTGACACGTACTAGTCATCCGGTAAGCTGGATGGTGACAACCAGCACAACATGTATCCTGGCAATGCAAAACCGCATCTTTTCATATCTTTTATGCATTCTCTGCCCATCCTGAGCCCATCACGTCCTTGTATTTCTGTCCCTTGGGCCTGCTCTGTACTAGCTTCTCCTGGATAGAAAATGCCAAAGCCCACTGAGAACCATCGGACTTCGCTGCTGCGCTCATGGCAGCATTAAAATCAGCAGTATCCTTAGGCATCCTTGACTTTTGGACTCTTCGATTCGACAGTGACTTGCAAAATGAATCATAATGATGCAAAAGATTGTGAAGGGTTTCCGATGGTTTCCGTGCCTTCTCATGTCTTCTCAGGGGTCTCAGAAGCTGTAAAAAGCAAGTGAAAAGCACTTACTTGTAGTCTTGTTGTGACAAGGATCAGCTCGAACACTCCAGCCAAACATGCTTGCCAGCAAAAGCAATGCATGTTGCCACTTCCCGCAGCTCGCACATACCTTGCAAACACGCATTTAAAAATAAGAACCAAAAACTATTCTGACTAGGGACTATAATTACAATAACAGGGTGACAGAGAAGAGAGATAGAGACGGTCTTCACTTGCTCTCCTTGTTCTGAAACACTGCTAAAAGCAACCTAAATGATCTAAATATCAGTACATGTCCATGAAATGCGACATCTTCCGAGTCTTTTCCAGTCACAGTGCAATCCAAGGCTCGCTGATGACTGCATTGCATAGAACTCTATTCAGAACGACATCGGAAGCCAAGGTCCTCCAGGCAAAGGACAGAAGCTCAAATGACTTGGAGCGATCTGAGATGCTGAAAATGAATATATCCGCCGACCCCGGCTGGCAGCAAGGGGGAGCGCGCCAGGGAAAAAGATTTGTGACTCTTCATCAGCGGCAGCAGCATTTTGTGAGCTCGATGTATATATATATAATATCCGCCGACCCCGGCAGACGCAAGGGGGAGCGCGTAAGGGAAGAAGATGGAAGAAAAGGACTACAACAACAACAACAACAGCAGCAACAACAACAACAAGAACAAGAACAAGAACAATAATAATATAATAATATAATAGTATAATAATAACAGCAACAATAACGACAACAACAACAACAACAACAACAACAATGACGACGACGACAACAACAACAACAACAACGACAACAAGAAGAACAATAACAAGAACAACAACCACAACAACAATAACAACAACAAAAACAACAACAACAACAACAACAACAACAACAACAACGACAACAATAACAACAACAACAACAACAACAACAACAACAACAACAACAACAACAACAACAACAACAACAACAACAACAACAACAAGAAGAACAAACAAGAACAAGAACAACAACAACCACAAAGACAAACATAAACCCAAACAACAACAAACAACAATAACAAACAACACCAAACAACAACAAACAACAAGAAACAACAACGAACAACAATAACCATGACCCTTTGCCGGGGGACTCTCTTGGGTCCCCCTCCCACCGGTCACGTACCTCGATTCCCACACTCCGGGGTTTTTGTTTCACCGGTGGGGGGTCCTTCCCGGAGTCTCCTCGAAGTACGTGGGGCTCCTTGGGTTGCCCTTCCCGCCCGCTTTTTTTTTTGGTTCATGTGTTACGTTTTGGGCACGAAATTAGGTGGTGTTTTGCTGTTTCGGAACCGTTTCGAAACAGCGGGCCCAGCTATAATATTGTTTAGGAGATTCTGGGGGATTCGGCCGAAACAGCTGGCCCAGCTAGGATTCCCGAACTAGGATCTAGATCTAGATCTAGGATTTTCTATAGGATATAGGATTCTCTAGGATTTCAACAAACAACAACAACAACAAGAAGAAGAACAAACAAGAACAAGAACAACAACAACCACAAAGACAAACATAAACCCAAACAACAACAAACAACAATAACAAACAACACCAAACAACAAGAAACAACAACGAACAACAATAACCATGACCCTTTGCCGGGGGACTCTCTTGGGTCCCCCTCCCACCGGTCACGTACCTCGATTCCTTGACTCCGGGGTTTTTGTTTCACCGGTGGGGGGTCCTTCCCGGAGTCTCCTCGAAGTACGTGGGGCTCCTTGGGTTGCCCTTCCCGCCCGCTTTTTTTTTGGGTTCATGTGTTACGTTTTGGGCACGAAGCTAGGATTCCCGAACTAGGATCTAGATCTAGATGTAGGATTTTCTATAGGATATAGGATTCTCTAGGATTTCAGACGGGACGTTAGGCAGCACGAAAAATTGTGTTTTTCTAGGATGGCACCAATGGGTGTCAAGAACGTGGGCAAGAGCACGCAAAAGGTGCACTTAGCCAGTAGCTAGCAGCCAGCGCCAGTAGCAGCCAGCGGCCAGTAGCCAGCAGCGTACCAAAAAATCTAGATTTTTCTAGGATAGGATTTCAGACGACACGTTAGGGACTTTTTTGGCGTGGTTCTGGCACTCGCTCGTCCTTCAGAGCCCTGGTGTTTTCCCCCCCGGGAGGTGATTTTTTCGAACCTGTTTTACTGCTAGCAGCCGCCAGCAACAGAATCTATCGAAAAATTGATTTTTTCTAGGGTGCCAGACGACACCAGTAGCAGCCAGCGGCTGCAGTAGCCAGCAGCGTACCAAAAAATCTAGATTTTTCTAGGATTTCAGACGACACGTTAGGGACTTTTTTGGCGTGGTTCTGGCACTCGCTCGTCCTTCAGAGCCATGGTGTTTTCCTGCCGGCAGCTACTTTTTTTCGAAGCTGTTCTACTGCCTGCCGACAGCTGCTTTTTTTCGAAGCTGTTCTATTGTCAGCAGTCTTGAAAAAGGTTGTTTTTCTACGATTTCAGACGACACGTTAGGGAATTTTTTAACGTGATTTTGGCACTCGCTCGTCCTTCGGAGCCATGGTGTTTTCCTGCCGGCAGCTACTTTTTTTCGAAGCTGTTCTACTGCCTGCCGACAGCTGCTTTTTTTCGAAGCTGTTCTATTGTCAGCAGCTTCGAAAAATGTTGTTTTTCTAGGATTTCAGACGACACGTTAGGGAGTTTTTTAACGTGATTTTGGCACTCGCTCGTCCTTCAGAGCCATGGTGTTTTCCTGCCGGCAGCTACTTTTTTTCGAAGCTGTTCTACTGCCTGCCGGTAGCTGCTTTTTTTCGAAGCTGTTCTACTGCCAGCAGTCTCGAAAAAGGTTGTTTTTCTAGGAGATTTCAGACGACACGTTAGGGAGTTTTTTAACGTGGTTTTCGTACTCGCTCGTCCTTCAGAGCCATGGCGTTTTCCTGCCGGCAGCTGCAGGCAACAGAATCTCTCGAAAAAGGTTGTTTTTCTAGGATTGCAGACGGGACGTTTGGCAGTTTTTTCGCATGGTTTTGGAACTAGCTCGTCCTGCAGAGCCATGGTGTTTTCCTGCCGGAAGGTGATTTTGTCGAAGCTGTTTGATTGCAAGCAGCCGCAGGCAACCGAATCTCTCGAAGAAGCTGTTCTACTGCCAGCAGTCTTGAAAAACGTTGTTTTTCTAGGATTTCAGACGACACGTTAGGGAGTTTTTTCACGTGGTTTTGGCACTCGCTCGTTCTTCAGAGCTATGGTGTTTTCATGCCGGCAGCTACTTTTTTTCGAAGCTGTTCTACTGCCTGCCGGCAGCTGCTTTTTTTTCGAAGCTGTTCTACTGCCAGCAGTCTTGAAAAAGGTTGTTTTTCTAGGATTTCAGACGACACGTTAGGGAGTTTTTTCACGTGGTTTTGGCACTCGCTCGTTCTTCAGAGCCATGGTGTTTTCCTGCCGGCAGCTGCTTTTTTTCGACGTTGTTCTACTGTCAGCAGTACTGCCAGCAGCTGCAGGCAACAGAATCTCGTCAAAAAGGTTTCTTTTCTAGGATTTCAGCTTTTTTCGAAGCTGTTTTCCTGCCAGTAGCTGCTTTTTTTCGAAGCTGTTCTACTGCCAGCAGTCTTGAAAAAGGTTGTTTTTCTAGGATTTCAGACGACACGTTAGGGAGTTTTTTCACGTGGTTTTGGCACTCGCTCGTTCTTCAGAGCCATGGTGTTTTCCTGCCGGCAGCTGCTTTTTTTCGAAGTTGTTCTACTGTCAGCAGTACTGCCAGCAGCTGCAGGCAATAGAATCTCGTCAAAAAGGTTTCTTTTCTAGGATTTCAGCTTTTTTCGAAGCTGTTTTACTGCCAGTTGCGGCTGGCAACAGAATCTCTCGATCTCTCGAAAAACGCTGTTTTTCTAGGATTCTAGGATACTTTTTTTCGACACTGTTCTACTGCCTCTCGAAAAAGGTTATTTTTCTAGGATTTCAGGCGGGACGTTTCTTTTCTAGGATTTCAGACGACACGTTAGGGACTTTTTTGGCGTGGTTCTGGCACTCGCTCGTCCTTCAGAGCCATGGTGTCCCTGAGCATCCGATATTGATTTCAATCAATATTTTCCTATGAAAAAATATTGATATTGATTTTTCAAAAAATATTGATAATATCAACATTTTGGATATTGATTTCTTTGGTGAAAATATTGATTTGGATATTGATTTTGATATTGATTTCAATATTGATTTTCTGTTGGATTTTTTTTATATTTTTTGGTTGACCAACTTTTCTGCTAAAATGGATGATTTTGTGTTTCCTCAAGGATCAGCTACTCAGATTTGGCAGTGTGCTGCATGTACACTGTTTGTTTGCAGTTTTTGGTTCAAAGCCATCCCCTTGGCACCTGTGCTGTTGCAGCTTTTAGAAAAGGGCATCTTGGTAACCTTTGGAAAAAAGGAGGGAGAAAACCAGCTAACATTGTTAAGCACCATCCCTTGGAAAAAGGGAAATGCCCAAGGGAGGCCCCAAACACTTTGCTAAGCCTGCAATAGACTTGGGCATATTACTGAAAATTCTGAAGAACAATTCAGAAACAGTCAAGAACCTGGGCCTGTATGAGACAATTTCAAAAACAGCTGCAGTAAATCCAAAGGGGTTGCTCAAGTGCAAAGGCCTCCTGCAGGATTTCATTGAGGCTACACCAACTTGTGAAGTTTCTTCACAAGCTCTTCGAACAAGCCTCACACACCTGCTGACACACAATGTGTCAGTAAACACATCAAAATTCAATGGAGCAACTTGGGCAAACATCAAAGCTGAGAGAATCACAGTTCTTCTGGCTCATTGCAGAAAAGTAGCTAGAGACATAGAACAACAAAGGCTGTGCACAGCCAAGCTGACAAGCACTGAGTACCAGGAGCTAGAAGCTGTGTTTTCCCAAGTGGTTCTTAAGGATGAGCCTGATGAACCCTTGAAAAAAGGGAGAGTACTGAAGCCAAACTTGAGTGGGGCATCTCTAGACAGTGATGGCATGCCAAACATGTTTGCAACACCTGACAAAAAATCACCCAAAAAAGAAAAGAGTACAGCCATTGTGCACAAACCTTCTGACACCAAATGGAAAAGGCCTGGAGCAATGTGCAAAGCAAACCCTTTGGAAAAAAGGAAAGAGAAAGAAGCAAAGGACAGTGAAAGCAGTGGTGGCAAAAGTGATTCTTTGAAAAGAAAGATGGGGTATGGAAGCAAAACCATGAAAAGGCCAGCAAGCAAGAAAGACAAGCCCTTGAAAAAAGAGGCTTCAAGCAAAAAAGGCAAGCCTTTGAAAAAAAGGCAGGCAAGCAACATAGACCCTCACCAGACATGGACAAATTTGAGTGTGTGCAATGCTACCTACCCAGAAAGAAGTTATATCACAGGGTGCCAGAAAGGCAGCACCCAAAGGATGTTGATTGTGGAGGTCCCAGCAAAGTGGACCAAAGATTATAAGGGTGTGATTGGAAAGCTCAAGAAAGCCATTGAAAAAGGCAGCACCAAAGCAGAAGCTTTGGAATTAAGGTCCAAACTGGTCAAGCAAGCAATAGATTAAAACTTGTGCAAAAATGGCAACCTTTGGAAGAAAGGTGGCTCCTTTGGAAAAAAGGATTGGGGAAGATTCCAACCAAAATAAAACCTTTGGAAAAAAGGTAGCAAATGTGGGAAAGGTAGGCCACAACCTTTGCAAAAAAGGTTGCCTGCAGCCTTTGCAAAAAAAGGTTGCCTGCAGCCTTTGAAAAAAAGGTTGTGGCAAACTGCCTGTGAAAAAACAAACATTTGGAAAACAAAAGGGTGTGCTATATATCCTTTGATGGCAGGAAGTATGCAGCCAACAGCCATTGGAAAAAATGATATATGGTACAGTCTTTGGAAAAAAGACATCCTCTTTCAAAACAGGCAGCCAGTCACAGAACCTTTGGCAAAAAGGTACCTGCATGCTTTTGCAACAGGTTGAGCCTTTGAAAAAAAAAGGTATGGCAAGGCATCAATCAGCCAAGAACTGCTCAGCAGATCTAGTTTGGCAAAGTTTTTCTGTTTCCAAACCTCAGAGCTTGCACATTCCCAGCCAAGCAAAAAGTAGCTGCTGCCACTCAGCTTGCCCACCCCACTGCCACCTGAAGTAGGGACCCCCACCAATAATATGGTATGGTAGGTATAGTTGTTGCTGTTGTTGTTAGCTTGTCAAGTAAAGGCACCAGGTCTATAGGTTTGAAAGGGTCCAGCCTTGGGTAGTTGCAGCTAAGTAGCTTCTGCCACAGTGATGAAGCCATGCATGTCTGCAGCCTTTTTAAGCTCAAACTTGCCCACCAACCTTACTCTTTCGCCTTGGCTGGTGGTGCAGAAGATCTTTGGAAGCCCTTGCAACAAGGGCAGCCTTTGCCATAAAGGCACCCTCTGGGAGCCATTGAAAAAATGGCCAAGAAACCATACAAGTGGGATCAAGCAAAGTGGGAAAAAGATGATGAGTGGTGGAACCCATACAACAAAGTGGGAAGACTCAAAGGAAAGGGTTCCACCACATGGGCCAGACAAGCAAGAAGAGCAGCCCAGTTTGCAGGAAACACAGACCAACAGCCCTTGGAAAAAGGGCATGCAGAAATGCAAAAGGAAAAAATACTGAAGCAATGGAAGTCATCCAAGAGGAGACACAACAACCTTTGGAAAAAAGGGGAAAAACAACAGATGACCCCAAAGAGAAAGGGGCAGCATCCAAAAAATTGGAGCCCAAGAAGGCTGAAAAGGAGGCAGCAAGTGGAGCCTCAGCCAGCTCTTCCTCAGGAGAGCATGCAAAGCCCTTGGAAAAAGAGGCAGTAAAAGAAAAGCCTGAAAAGCCATTGGAAAAGGATGCAGTAAAAGGAGAGCCTGGAAAGCCCTTGGAAAAAGGGAAAGCAACAGAAGAGCTTGCAAAGCCTTTGGAAAAAAGGCAAGCAGAAAATGAACCACCAAAAAAAGAAGAAAGCAAGCCTGTGGAAACAGAGCTAGCAGCACATGAGCCTGCAAAACCCTTGGAAAAAGGGCAAGCAAAAAATGAACCTGGACAAGAAGCAGGCAAGCCCTTGGAAACTGTCAAGCAAGAGCCTGCACCAGAGCCAACAGAAGAAGAATGGCAAGTGGCCACAAACAAAAGAAAGAAAAACAAAAAGCAGGCAGAGAAAAAAAACCTACCTGGATGTGGTGGTGAAAGGTGGGTTGCAGGATCACAAGACCCCAAAGCAAAAGCAAAGAACAAGCAGGGGGTATGTGAGCCTGGGGTCAGAATCTGCCAGCTCCTCTAGGGCCAGCAGCCACAAGGGGACACCTGCACAGCCTGCCAGGATGTCTCTACTGGAGCCTTTGCAAAAAAGGCAGGAGGTCACTGAGCCTTTGGAAAAAAGGCAAGAGATCCCTAGGCCTTTGGAAATAAGGCAAAGGTTGGCCCTGGATTGGCACAATGTCTTCCAGCTGACCTACAGGGGGGAAGACTATGTGCCAAATGCCCACATCAGAGCCTTCTGGGACCTGCAGGCAGAAGGATTTGAGATTTATCTCCTGACCTTTTGTGGCAGAGAAAGGGGTGACACAGTGGTCAAATGGGCCAAGTCTCTCCCCATCAAGTGGGGCTACATCAAGGTAGTTGGGGACAGGTGTGGCCCCTGGGGGAAAGCAGAGTGGGCCAAGGATTTTTCGGTGCACACACCTGGCAGATGACAATGCAGACATCTGCAAGGAATCCTTGGAAAAAGGATTGAAGGTCTACCCAGTGACCACCAGGTATGAGCTCCACACATGGGCCAAGAAGGAAGGCCTGGAGACCTACAGGGACTTTGTCAAAGTGGTGGAAGCCCTTGTGGATGATTGAAAACCTTTGGAAAAAAGGTTAAGATGATTGGGAACCCTTTGGAAAAAAGGGAGAACAAAATGATGAGCAGGATCAAGAACCTTTGGAAAAAAGGTGTGTTTTTCAACCTCCAACAACAAATCTTTGGAAAAAAGATATTGCTTTTGCCTGAAGGCAGCCCCTTCAAAATGAAGGAACCTTTGGAAAAAAGGTCAAAGCCTGGCTGCCTGAAGGTTGCAAAGTTGTTGGCACAACCCTGGTGTACATCACCAGCTGGCAGAAAAAAAGGGCTGGGAAATGTGCATGTTTCTCATGAAACTGGTTTGGGTCACAACTCTTTAAACCCATCTAAAAATAAAGGGTCCCTTTTTTGCAAAGGGTGTTCTTGATCCACCAAACTGATGATAGACCAGGGGTGCACATTCTGTTCTTTAGATCACAGATCATAAAAAACAATGGTTTATCTTTGTGAAAAGAACATTGTGATTGCCACTCCACAAAATAACACATCATACAGCAATGGTTCATGTCTGTTAAAGAAACTGTTCCTGGCCATTCCCCACAAAGAATAATTTCAAAACACTGATGAAATCGATTGGTCCCATTTTTTCTGGAACAAATCCATATTTTTCAGTTTTGGTCAATTTTGGTCAAATTTGGTCAATTTTGGTCAACTTTGGTCAAACTTTGGTCAAATCTAGTCAAAACATATGTTTGACCAAAATTTGACCAAATTTGATTAGATTTGACCAAAATTGACCAAAATTGACCAAAGTTCACCAAAGTTCATTTTTTGGGAAAAGATGTAAAAAAAAATGAATGTCACCTGAAACATGTTTGGCTCAAGGTTGTTATTTCTAGATTTCAAAAGGGTGCCATGGGGAAGGCCATGAAATCAAAGCCCTTGCAAAAAGGGCCAAAAGCAAAAGCAAAAGCTAAGAGTTCTTGCAAAAAGAACAAAACTGGTGGCAAAAAGGCAATGAAAACACTTACATCAGCAAATTTGAGGAGGCTTGAAAAAAGCCAAGGGCAAATGTCTCTTCAAGACAAGCTGAAAAAAGCAGGTGAGGAAGACACAGTGGAAGGAGCAAAGGCACTCCTGCAGAAGCTCATGACCAAGGATGAAAAAACAAAACTTTGGTCCAAACACCAGACCTACTTGAAGGGCAACCAAGATGAAAAGAGCACATATGATGAAGCAAACAAAAAGGAAAAAACTGACATGACAATGGCGTGGCTCTTGAAAAAAGAGCATTCAAAGTACTACCAGGTGTCCAAGGAGATGGAAGGATCCACCAAGGCAAAGAGGAGTGAGCAGTGGGTCAGTGAGATGGTGATGCTCACAAGATGGTCTTGGGAGGAATTACAGATGCATTTAGCATCTGGGAGGATTGTAGCAAGGGAGTGTGCCTCTACCTGGGGGGTCTATGAGTATTGTGACATGCAGGATTGGGTCACAGTCCAGGCTGCACAATCAAAAAACCGAGCCAGAATTGCACAAGAGTATGTTCCAAACTCTGATGATGAGATGCTGCTGGACTCATGCATGCAAGGCAACATGAAAGCTAATGCCAGCAGGCTCTTGGCTCAGAGTTCTGGCAGCAAAGGGCTTGGAAAAAGCTCAAGCAAAGGGAAAGGGAAAGGCAAAGGAAAGGGAAAAGGGAAAGGAGATAGTCAGCTAGCCTTGCAGGATAGGGAAGAAAAGCAAGCAGAAGATGAAGAAGAGGATGAAGACAAAACAGAAGAAGAGCAGCTGAAGGATGCTTACAAGAAAGCAAAGAAGGCCAGGGACATGGCAACAGCAGTCTGTGCAGACTTTGAGGATTGCTTGGCAAAAGCAAACCCCTACTTGAGCAAGGCATCAAAGCAAAATGGCTTGAAGGACCAGCAGCTCTTGGCTGCCATGGGCAACAAACTGAAGGAAGCTGTCAGCAAAGAAAATGTAACCCTGAAAAAGTTAAAGTCTATGCTTCAAGAAACTGCCAACAAAGTCAAGGAGGTAAAGGACACAATGAAAGAGTTGAAGCAATTGGCCAACAAGGCTGGCAGCATTGCTTCCAAGGCAGCCAGTGCCAAGTCCAAAAAGTAAACCTTTGGAAAAAAGGTTGCTGCAGAAAAAGGAAGTTGGGAAAAAAAGTTCTCCACAAAAGACCTTTGGAAAAAAGGTAGTCCCACAAGAGACCTTTGGAAAAAAGGTAGACCCACAAGAGACCTTTGGAAAAAAGGTACCCCAAGAGAAGCCTTTGGAAAAAAGGTAAGCCAAACATGTACAGCACTTGAGCACAAGGTGAGGTGGGAAACAATTTTGAGAAACAAGTTCCAAACATCCTTTGGGAAAAGGGCCACTGGGTAGCATGCATTGGAAAAAGGCATTTTTTGATGGGAGCCCCCTCACAAGAGGGAACCTTTGCAAGAAAGGTGGTTCCCTTTCATTTTTTCATGGCTGGACACCAGACTTTTGTCCATTCACCAAGCAAAAAGGAGCTTCACCCGGGGGGTTGGCAAGGGGGCATGATACCATTTGAGTCTTGTCTTGTAGGTTTGTTATAAATGTGTGTACCTTTTTTTTTTGCATGCTTGTTTGTAATACTGTTAGCACTTAGCACCTGCCCCCCTGTTGCATAAGGTCTCAGTCAAGGATGCTTGCTGGCAGCCAGCTGTTGCTCAAGAGAGTAGCTGGCAGATACCATTTAGTTTCTGGGAAAGAGAGCCCTTGGAAAAAGGGCTGCAGACAAGGGGGCAAAAGCAAGTCTTTGAAAGGAGCCTTTGGGAAAAAGGCTTTGGCAAAAAGGCTTTGGCTTTGGAGCAAAGATTCCAGGAGAACCTTTGGAAAAAAGGTGGCAAGAAATTCTTTGGAAAAAAGAAACCCTTGAACAATGACAAAAAGATTAAGGGGATGGAAAAAGGATGTGGAGCTAGGCCTTGCAGAAAGGCCAGATGCAGAGGCAGAAGATCCAAGCCCCTTTGCCACCAAGCTGCTGAGCCACTGGGCCCATGGTACTTTGAGTGCCATAGCCATACAAGAATTGGCACATTTGGCACAGCTTGGTGGAACCAGCCATGCAGAAGTGGCAGCCCTTGCAAAAAGTGGCAATTATGGTGAAAACCCAGGGAACATTCACAAGGCAATCATGCAAACCTTTTTGCCTAATGTTTCCATCCCAGCTGGGTTTGATGTGGAGGTGCCCTGCTTGGATCCCAAAACCAGCCAAGCTTCAACCTCCACAGCATCCATCTTTCTCCCCCACACAATGTTCTCAGCTCTCTATGAGCACTATCCAACCAAATGGGCAGAGCTGTTTTGCCCACCAAAGCTAGAAGAGTTTTGGAAGGGGGTTGAAAGCAAGAAGGATGATAGATTGAAGGGGCACCCTTTGAAAAAAAGGGAGAATTGGAGGACCCAAACAATACCCATCTTTGTGCATGGGGATGGTGCTGAATTTATGACAAGGGATTCTCTCATGATATATTCCTTTGGGTGTGTCCTCAATCTCTTTGGGAGTCTTGACTCTCACCTTTTGATGGGTGTCTTCCCAAAGGTGGCCACCACAAAGGACACCTGGCCAGCTTTGTGGAAATGGTTCAGCTGGAGTTTCCATGCCTTGCAAAAAGGCTTCCACCCCTCCAGGGATCCAGATGGAAAACCCTTGGAAAAAGGGTCGCCTTTCTATCCACACAAAGGAAAGGCTTTGGCATCTTCTTTCACAGCAGCCATCTGGACCATCATTGGTGATCAGGAATTCTTCTCCTTGCAGCTGGGCTTGCCTCACTGGGCATCAAAGAATCCATGCCACCAATGCAACTGCACCAGCAAGAGTGGAGACCTTCCATATTCTTGGTTGGATCCAGATGTGTTCACCTATGTGAACACAAAGGTGGCCAAGGCCAACCCCAGCTCTACCCATCCAATCTTCAGCATTGATGGGGTCACCAGCAGGATGGTGAGGGGGGATGGCTTACATATCCTTTTCACAAAGGGATTGTATGCCCATCTGTTGGGAAGCTGCCTGCACTACATGTGCTGGTTTGACCCAATCACTGGACACCAAGTGGTCAAACCACAGGAGCGCCTTGCTGTCATCTTTACTGAAGTGCAGAAATTCTACAAAGTGCAAGGGGCTGGAACAGTGCTCACCAACCTCAAGCTCAGCATGTTTACCAATGAAAAGTCCCCACACCAGTCCCATGCATTCCTAGATGCAAAAGGGGGCGAATGCAAATGGTTGGCACCAGCCCTGCTGGAGGTGATGAAAAAAATGCTTGGTCCAGAAAGGGATCACCATGCCCATATGATACAATGTGTCGAGATCATGGTGCAGCTGGTCTTCTTGTGGGATTCAGCAGACATCTTCCTCACTGAAGCAGAAGAAGAACTCACAATGAGTTTGTGCAACTCCTTCCTGCAGGAATACACCTACTTGAACCATTGGGCAGAAACATCTGGCAGAAAGCTTTTCCACATTGTCTTCAAGCACCACACCTTCATCCATCTTTGCCTTGGAGCTGCAGAAATGAATCCCAGATTCCATTGGTGCTTTAAGTCAGAAGACTTTGTGGGGGCTATAGCCAGGCTTGCACACTCTTGCACCTCTGGAGTGGCAAGCACCAGGCTCAGCACCAAAGTTCTCCCCAAGTATGCAATTCTACTCCATTTGTTGCTTACAAGAGAAGGCTTCAGCATGGAAGGTTAGCCTTTGGAAAAAAGGTCGCAAAAACCTTTGAAAAAAAGGTTCCATGGAAACCTTTGGAAAAAAGGTTGACCTGTGGCCTAAGGAAATCTTTGGAAAAAAGTAGTTCACAAGGAAGCCTTTGGAAAAAAGGTAGCTCACATATGGAGACTTTTGGGAAAAAGGCAGCACAAAAGAGAAAAAGGTGCCTTTGCAAAAAAGGCTTGAACTTCGAGCAGGATTCACCCACTCATGGTTTAAAAAGTGCTTGGCAGCTGAGAGTGGATGGCCTGGGAAAAGTACCCTAAAAGTAGAGGTTTGGGGCCAAAAAAAAGTCAAAAAATGCTGATTTTGGATATTGATTTTTGTCTTCAAAAACCTAGGAAAAAATATTGATTTTTGAGGTTGAGAAATATTGATTTTAATATTGATTTCCCTTTGAAATCAATATCACAAAACTGATATTGATTGAAATCAATATCGGATGCTCAGGGGTTTTCCTGCCGGCAGCTACTTTTTTTCGAAGCTGTTCTACTGCCTGCCGACAGCTGCTTTTTTTCGAAGCTGTTCTATTGTCAGCAGTCTTGAAAAAGGTTGTTTTCTAGGATTTCAGACAGGACGTACACGTTTAATGTGATTTTGGCACTGCGCTCGTCCTTCAGAGCCATGGTGTTTTCCTGCCGGCAGCTACTTTTTTTCGAAGCTGTTCTACTGCCTGCCGACAGCTGCTTTTTTTCGAAGCTGTTCTATTGTCAGCAGTCTTGAAAAATGTTGTTTTTCTAGGATTTCAGACGACACGTTAGGGAGTTTTTTAACGTGATTTTGGCACTCGCTCGTCCTTCGGAGCCATGGTGTTTTCCTGCCGGCAGCTACTTTTTTTCGAAGCTGTTCTACTGCCTGCCGGTAGCTGCTTTTTTTCGAAGCTGTTCTACTGCCAGCAGTCTCGAAAAAGGTTGTTTTTCTAGGAGATTTCAGACGACACGTTAGGGAGTTTTTTAACGTGGTTTTCGTACTCGCTCGTCCTTCAGAGCCATGGCGTTTTCCTGCCGGCAGCTGCAGGCAACAGAATCTCTCGAAAAAGGTTGTTTTTCTAGGATTGCAGACGGGACGTTTGGCAGTTTTTTCGCATGGTTTTGGAACTAGCTCGTCCTGCAGAGCCATGGTGTTTTCCTGCCGGAAGGTGATTTTTTCGAAGCTGTTTGATTGCAAGCAGCCGCAGGCAACCGAATCTCTCGAAGAAGCTGTTCTACTGCCAGCAGTCTTGAAAAACGTTGTTTTTCTAGGATTTCAGACGACACGTTAGGGAGTTTTTTCATGTGGTTTTGGCACTCGCTCGTTCTTCAGAGCTATGGTGTTTTCATGCCGGCAGCTACTTTTTTTCGAAGCTGTTCTACTGCCTGCCGGCAGCTGCTTTTTTTTCGAAGCTGTTCTACTGCCAGCAGTCTTGAAAAAGGTTGTTTTTCTAGGATTTCAGACGACACGTTAGGGAGTTTTTTCACATGGTTTTGGCACTCGCTCGTTCTTCAGAGCCATGGTGTTTTCCTGCCGGCAGCTGCTTTTTTTCGAAGTTGTTCTACTGTCAGCAGTCCTGCCAGCAGCTGCAGGCAACAGAATCTCGTCAAAAAGGTTTCTTTTCTAGGATTTCAGCTTTTTTCGAAGCTGTTTTCCTGCCAGTAGCTGCTTTTTTTCGAAGCTGTTCTACTGCCAGCAGTCTTGAAAAAGGTTGTTTTTCTAGGATTTCAGACGACACGTTAGGGAGTTTTTTCACGTGGTTTTGGCACTCGCTCGTTCTTCAGAGCCATGGTGTTTTCCTGCCGGCAGCTGCTTTTTTTCGAAGTTGTTCTACTGTCAGCAGTACTGCCAGCAGCTGCAGGCAATAGAATCTCGTCAAAAAGGTTTCTTTTCTAGGATTTCAGCTTTTTTCGAAGCTGTTTTACTGCCAGTTGCGGCTGGCAACAGAATCTCTCGATCTCTCGAAAAACGCTGTTTTTCTAGGATTCTAGGATACTTTTTTTCGACACTGTTCTACTGCCTCTCGAAAAAGGTTATTTTTCTAGGATTTCAGGCGGGACGTTTCCTGCCGGCAGCCGCTTTTTTTTGATTTCGATGGTGTTCTACTGTCAGCATCAGCAGTCTCGAAAAAGGCTGTTTTTCTAGGAGATTTCAGACGACACTTTAGGTACTGCCTGCCGGCAACTGCTTTTTTTCGAAGCTGTTCTACTGCCAGCAGTCTCGAAAAATGTTGTTTTTCTAGGATTTCAGACGACATGTTAGGGAGTTTTTTAACGTGGTTTTGGCACTCGCTCGTCCTTCAGAGCCATGGTGTTTTCCTGCCGGCAGCTACTTTTTTTCGAAGCTGTTCTACTGCCTGCCGGCAGCTGCTTTTTTTCGAAGCTGTTCTATTGTCAGCAGTCTTGAAAAAGGTTGTTTTTCTAGGATTTTAGACGACACGTTAGGGAGTTTTTTCACGTGGTTTTCGCACTCGCTCGTTCTTCAGAGCTATGGTGTTTTCCTGCCGGCAGCTGCTTTTTTTCGAAGTTGTTCTACTGTTAGCAGTACTGCCAGCAGCTGCAGGCAACAGAATCTCGTCAAAAAGGTTTCTTTTCTAGGATTTCAGCTTTTTTCGAAGGTGTTTTACTGCCAGTTGCGGCTGGCAACAGAATCTCTCGATCTCTCGAAAAACGCTGTTTTTCTAGGATTCTAGGATACTTTTTTTCGAAGCTGTTCTCCTGCCTGCCGGCAACTGCTTTTTTTCGATTTTTTCGAAGCTGTCCACTGTCAGCAGTCTCGAAAAAGGTTGTTTTTCTAGGAGATTTCAGACGACACGTTAGGGAGTTTTTTAACGTGATTTTGGCACTCGCTCGTCCTTCAGAGCCATGGTGTTTTCCTGCCGGCAGCTACTTTTTTTCGAAGCTGTTCTACTGCTTGCCGGTAGCTGCTTTTTTTCGAAGCTGTTCCACTGCTAGCAGTCTCGAAAAAGGTTGTTTCTCTAGGAGATTTCAGACGACACGTTAGGGAGTTTTTTAACGTGGTTTTGGCACTCGCTCGTCCTTCAGAGCCATGGTGTTTTCCTGCCGGCAGCTGCTTTTTTTCGAAGTTGTTCTACTGCCAGCAGTCCTGCCAGCAGCTGCAGGCAACAGAATCTCGCCAAAAAGGTGTCTTTTCTAGGATTTCAGCTTTTTTCGAAGCTGTTTTACTGCCAGTTGCGGCTGGCAACAGAATCTCTCGATCTCGCGAAAAACGCTGTTTTTCTCGGATACTTTTTTTCGAAGTTGTTCTACTGCCTGCCGGCAACTGCTTTTTTTCGATTTTCGAAGTTGTTCTACTGCCAGCAGTCTCGAAAAAGGTTGTTTTTCTAGGAGATTTCAGACGACGCGTTATGGAGTTTTTGAACGTGGTTTTGGCACTCGCTCGTCCTTCAGAGCTATGGTGTTTTCCTGCCGGCAGCTACTTTTTTTCGAAGCTGTTCTACTGCCTGCCGGCAACTGCTTTTTTTCGAAGCCGTTCTACTGCCAGCAGTCTCGAAACACGTTGTGTTTCTAGGCTTTCAGACGACACGTTAGGGAATTTTTTAACGTGGTTTTGGCACTCGCTCGTTCTTCAGAGCCATGGTGTTTTCCTGCTGGCAGCTACTTTTTTTCGAGGCTGTTCTACTGCCTGCCGCTAGCTGCTTTTTTTCGAAGCTGTTCTACTGCCAGCAGTCTTGAAAAAGGTTGTTTTTCTAGGAGATTTCAGACGACACATGAGGGAGTAAAGGGTGTGAAATAGTTTTAGGATTTTTTTTTGAACAGGTTTGGGATTTTTTTTTGGATTTCTTGGCTGGTACCATTTGCCTAGTGTTTGCAACGGTTTGGAACTTGAATTTGTCATTTTGCATGGTATTTGCCACATTTGGGCATGTTCACCTTCCATTTTGCATGGGATTTACTACATGTGGGCATGTTAACCTTCCATTTTGTATGGTATTTGCCACATTTTGGCATGTTCACCTTCCATTTTGCATGGGATTTGCTACATGTGGGCATGTTCACCTTCCATTTTGTATGGTATTTGCCACATTTTGGCATGTTCACCTTCCATTTTGCATGGGATGTTCTACATGTGAGCATGTGCACCCAAATATTTACAGATGCGGAAGCTTGGGATTAGATAAAAAGCGGGTGGGGGGGATTGAGGGAGGGCGCTAGCTATCTATCCAGCTAGCTAGCTATCTAGCTATCTAGCTAGCTATCTATCTAGCAAGCTATCTATCTAGCAAGCTATCTATCTATCTAGCTATCTATCTACCTATCTAGCTAGCTATCTTGCTAGCTATCTATCTATCTAGCTATCTAGCTAACTATCTATCTAGCTATCTAGCTATCTAGTTTTCTATCTATCTAGCTATCTATCTATCTATCTAGCCATCCAGCTGTCGATCCAGCTATCTAGCTATCGAGCTAGCTATCTATCTAGCAAGCTAGCTATCTATCTAGCAAGCTAGCTATCTATCTAGCAAGCTATCTATCTATCTAGCTATCTACCTATCTAGCTAGCTATCTTGCTAGCTATCTATCTACCTATCTAGCTATCTAGCTAACTATCTATCTAGCTATCTAGCTATCTAGCTTTCTATCTATCGATCTATCTATCTAGCTATCTATCTAGCTACCTCTTTATCTATCTAGCTAGCTATCTATCTATCTAGCTATCTATCTAGCCATCTATCTATCGCGGTATCTAGCTATCTATCTCTCTAGCTATCTATCTATCTAGCTGGCTATCTATCTATCTAGCTATCTGTCTACCAAGCTATCTATCTATCTATCTATCTATCAATCACATGTAATCCTGTCAGCTTTCCAGAGAAGGTTAGTTCGCAAAAACCAACTAATGTAACTTGGGTTTAAGTTTAAATTAAAAAAAGCGGGAGGGGGGGATTGGGGGGAGGGCGCGGCGCCTCCCCCCAAAGCAGAATGCAAGCACCTCTTCTCACATGTTACGTTGCTAGTTTTCAAGAGAAGGTTGGTCATGTGATACTCAGGGATGTAAATACTGTGCAAAATGCATCTTACATGAAAATCAAGTATTTAAAGCAGGCAAAGCAAAAAAAAAGCAGAGAAGCAAAAAAGCAGAGAAGCAAAGAAACAGGAAACGCACAAAAGCAAAACAGCAGAAAGGCAAAGAAGCAGGAAAAGCAGAAAAGCAGAGAAGCAGGAGAAGCAGGAAAAGCAGAGAAGCAAAGAAACAGGAAAAGCAGAGAAGCAAAGAAACAGGAAAAACAGAAAAGCAAAAAAGCAGAAAAGCAGAGAAGCAGAGAAGCAGGAGAAGCAGAAAAGCAAAAAAGCAAAAAAGCAGAAAAGGCGAGAAGCAGGAGAAGCAGAAAAGCAAAAAAGCAGAAAAGCAGAGAAGCAGGAAAAGCAGGAAAAGCAGGAAAAGCAGGAAAAGCAGGAAAAGCAGGAAAGCAGAGAAGCAGGAAAAGCAGGAAAAGCAGAGAAGCAGGAATCCAAAAATAATTCCTAAGCCTGATAAAAAAAAAAAATCCTAAAATAATTAGCCCTCCGTTTTTTAACGTGATTTTGGTACTCGCTCGTTCTTCAGAGCCATGGTGTTTTCCTGCCGGCAGCTGCTTTTTTTCGAAGTTGTTCTACTGCCAGCAGTACTGCCAGCAGCTGCAGGCAACAGAATCGTTCAGAGCAAGCTTCATGTCAACTGTCTCGTCACTCTTGCCTGTTTCACCAGCCCTTGATCAAATTGGAACATTGCGGCACCTGCTCAAGGCCTATAAGTCATCTGCATCAGGTATATTTTGCCAGATATTGTTTCACTTTCTCGAACAGTTGCATGGTCCGCAAAACATGCGGAACCTTACGAATGTTTACTTCGGCAAGAGAACCTTTACTTATTCTTTTCCGGGGTCGGCGGCAGGGGCGGCAGCCCTTAAATAAATTGAATAAATCTACGCTGAGTCCGAGAGGAACAATTCAAGTAAGCCGGCAGGCTCAGTAAGCATCAAATCTTTCCTCTCCTCAAGAGTTCCAGCGACAACAGCCAGCAGCCTCCAACCTGTGCAGTGCGTGTAAGTATGACAACCAAATCCGAGTTAACACATTTTCAGGTGCCCAAAATAATGAAATTAATTGACTGCAAACGATTCTGGAATGTGTCCTCTTGCATATGTCAGCTCTCAATAGCTCTCAGGGAAAACTCGACGGTTTCAACCTCCTCGTATCGCATCTTGACCCTGTCGATCCCTGTCGATCCCTGTCCATCCCTCCGTCTCCCTCCCATCCTCACAGGCTGCCAATCTCGTGCCAATGCCGACCACATCTCCCCCTGCAAGATCCAAAGCCAGCTGCCATCTTTGACCCTCACGATCCGAGTTGCATCTTGCCGCAAGACTGTTTTGAGTAATGACGTCCTTGGTCGGAGTCTTGCAAATTGATTGTTTTACCATCTAAACTGCTTTGGCATTTAAACGGAATGATATTTCTGAGCACCAAAGTCTATTTCAAGCTCAAAGTGTCTGGTTCAACTTGCACAGCTTTCATGCTCCGCCAGATATCTATTGACCTGTTGCTGCGGCCAAACAGGGAACGGCTTCGTTTGACTATGCAGAGGTCAAACTATGTAGTGAGGTTTCAGACCTTTACTTCCTGAAATGGTACCGATACTGCCAATACTTCCAAGAACACGTCTTTACGCCAACTGGATGGTCTCAACATCCAGTGGCATTCGGAATAGGTGCCTTGACCACGAGCTGTCTTGGCAACCCTGGGCAGCAATAGCAGCATTGAAGGTACCTTGGAAAACACCAAAAAGATCCAAACAGTAATTCCGAGGCGACTCTGACAGCCAAAGGGGCACAAAAGCCGCTTAAGCTCTCAAGCAGTGTGCAGTGATCTTGAAAATGCACATGTTTTTCTTCAAAGACCGGTTACCATTCCATTTTAGAAAAACTGTGTTGGATCGATTTGAAGCCTGTTCTTCGATAAAGTAGTCTTGCTTTATCTGACAAAGACATACAAGAGCGCGGGTTTACTCACAGCAAATGGACATATCAGAACTGATGATTTTTGAACATGAAAATCTATATACATATATATATTATATATAACCTTCAACAAGATTTACTGCAAATATATTTGTACGTATATATTCGCACACACTACCTTAAGTCACAAGGGTTTTCTACATGATTGTTGATCAAAATTCCTTTAATTATCCGGGAACGGCCATTCTTCGCGAATAAAAGTGTTACTTTCGCGAAACTTTCGCGAACTCCATGTTTATGTTTCGTGGAACCCATGTTAGGCCATCATGACATTGTCAAAAAATCAACTTTCGCAAAACTTTCGCGAAGAAAAAAAATACTTTCGCAAATTCGAAAAAAAAACTGTCGCGAGGGCTCCCAACATAACATGAACGGTCTTCGCAATTAAAATTCCTTACAAGGACCGTTAGATTGATCACCACATGTCTCAGCTCCATGGTTAGTTTTTTTTATCAAAAACTTTGTGCCGTGCAGTCTTGGCTACCCATCTTAAAAGAAACATAAACAATGTTCACCAATAACTTCTACACATTGCTTTGTGGCGGCTTCTGCGCATGGCACACCGGTTTTGCGACAAGACCTTTGCATCGCGATGACTAAACCCAACTACCCAGTACAGTCCTTCCTTCCCATTCAGCCAGGTCCAAATTGGTCCACTGGTGCCACAGTTTGGCCAGGTTGCTTGCTGTTGGCTTGACAAGCCATGTGCGAATTCGTTCCAGAAGCCCCAAAACATCTGGCCACAGATTCCCGTTTTTTCCTGTGACACTGATTGCTGTGTTGCAGTGGTAGATATTCACCTGCAGAGGTCCCAAGTCAAACGGAGGGGCTCGCAAGCACTAGATGGACTTGATTGAACCCACAAGTTGTTCCGCAAAGCTTATCCTATTAGAGATGACATGGCCCTTCACTTCATACACGCAGACAAATTTGAACCCCGGCCTCCAATCGACCTAGATGTTTCTTGAAGCAAACTCACAAGAATCTACTGTTGTTTGCTTCCAACTCTTGATCTATGCCAAAATGTCAAAACCCTACGTTGTCATTCCACCGCCAACTCAAAGCTTCTGGACAATAATGAACTGCTGGTTTGAAGGATACATTCAGTTCGAAATCATCATCATCATCATCATCACCATCATAATCAATGCTCAATGACTTTCTGATCTTCTTTTGAGTTCCTTCCCTTCAGTCTGCTTTCCTGAAGTCTGTCAGAGCTCCCCATCACTTTGATCACTTTGGCCCAAGCGACCAAGCCGGATGGCATAAAGTGCCCGGCGTGCCAGGTCTGGCTGTAGTGACTTCAGGGCTGCTACAGCCTCAGTGCTTTCAGATCCCTTCAGTTTCGAAGTGGATATGCTGTAGACAAAGTAAAGAATAAGTATGATAGAATCGGACAAAGAATGAGAAATACAGGACCAATACAAGATACACAAGATATACAAAGGACAATGCACGTCATGCACATTCACAAAATGTAAAACAAAACATGACATGCAGCCTTCAAAATCATGGAAAAAATAAGAAACACATAGAAATATCACAGGCGTCATAGCCAAGCTGGACTGTCCGAGTTGCTGCAATTGGGTCGTTGGCTCCTGTGCTGGCCCATTCTTTGACAATACCCAAATTGGATGCGATCAGTCAACTGCCCTGCAAACAAAACACAACAGTCCCTGCCTCCAGCTTCTGAATTGAGGTGCATAGACTAGCTATGGAAGGTGGAAGCATCTCAATGCTGAGATGCACTCGGAGCCGGAGCATTATAACAGGTGTTGAACAGGAGTGTAACAATTTCTGTGCAAATGACCTTGCAGGCAGGAGTCTTGTAGGAGTTCAAGTAGAAGTGGATCACCTGCAAGTCAACTCCTGTGTAAATGACATTCTTCAAGTTTTGTAGGAGTTCCCTAGAAGTTGATCACCTGTAGCTGATGTAGGTGATGTTGTCTATGGTGTAGATGATGAGGATGATGTTGTAAGTGATGTAAGGTTAGATTGGCTTGAAGATGTAGGTGATGTAGAGGATGCAGTGATATAGATGATGGTGTAGGTCATGTATGCGTTGTAGATGATGTATGTCATGTAGATGAGGCTGATGGAAAAAGATTGTGTAGGTGATGTAGATTGTGTAGGTGATATAGGTGATGATGATGATGATGGTGGTGGTGGTGATGATGATGATCATGATGATGATGATGATGATGATGTAGGGAAGATGGTGCAGAAGATGTAGGTGATGTGGGTGGTGTAGAGGATGATGTAGGTAATGTATGTGCTGTAGATAAAACATGTCATATCATATAGATGAGCTTGGTGCAGAAGTGTGTAGGTGGTGTAGATAATGTAGGTGAGACAGATGTAGGTGATGATGATTATGATGATGGTGGTGATGATGATGATGGTGTAGATGTAGATCCAGGAAAGATGGTGTAGAAGATGGTATAGAAGATGTAAAGGACATAAGATATGTGGAAGATGTATGTTAGGTAGATGAAGCGAAGAGTGAGGCGGGCAGCAGTTCTTTGGGAAGAAAACCCTTCGCACAAGCTTCCGGGATACTGGCCACAGTATTGCAAACTCTTTTGGAAAAGCGTTTTTTCATAAAGTGTTTGTGCTGTGATTACACCTTGCACGCCCGACTTCTAGAGTAAAAAGGGCGGGGCAATAAACATACTTCACTCATTGCGTGTTTGGCAACTGTTTTTGTTTCTCGCTGTTGGGGATACTCTTTGGGCTTATTGTTTTTATCAGGCATGAATGCATTGAATGTCAAGCTTGTGAAGGCTCACCGGCATGAATGCTCTAGTGAAGCAATGCCATATTCCTACTTGACGCCCTCAACCCTTGCTACCTGCAGACCTTTTCAATCAAAAAAGCATCGGCTAAGAGCACTGTTTTTCACGTCGCTCCGTGAGCGAAGCAATCCTTCTCAAGGCCCGCTACCAAGCTCCACGCGTGCTCGGTCTAATCAAAAGAGCATCGGCTAAGAGCACTGTTTTTCACGTCGCTCCGTGAGCGAAGCAATCCTTCTCAAGGCCCGCTACCAAGCTCCACATGTGGTCTCACACGGCAACGTCATGCAACGTCTAAGCAACACGTTGCACTAGTATTTGTTACGCACGTCCACTTGCCCTGGAGGCACTCAAAATGAAGTTTGTGGAAAGCATCGTTGCAGTCAAATGTTGCATTGCTTTCGTCGCAGGTCCAGTTGTGACATGCCCAGCCCCAGCCCCAGCCCCAGCCCGCGCAGCCATTTGGGAGTTTGTTCATGTTGAAAGAAGCTTCAACGCTCGCAAGGATGAGGCAAGCGAACAAAACGGATCTGAGCGCCATGGCTATGTCGACGCTGAGCAAAATAGCGTCCCTGAGTGCTTGAGGCAAAATCTGTACAAACAGCTACGGAAGACCATAAAGATGCTGAGATGCACTCGGAGCCGGAGCATTATAACAGGTGTGGAACAGGTGTAAAACAGCTGTAGTCGATGTTCATTCTTCCAGTGACATAGAACAACTCAGCACAACTCAGCCTGTCCTCAGCTCAACGGTCTGTTGGAGTTGAAAGTGCAAAAAGCAACATCATCAGCTGGTGAGCAGGTGCTAGTGCATTTGTCTGTGCTTTCTGGACTACAAATCTTAGCGGCCGTGTCGTGTTGACACTGCTTGTGAGACTGAAGCCCCAGCTTGCACTAGCTTGCAGGTCCCTGACAAGGTTTTCCAGCCCACAAACTCGGTCCTTCGGGCATGTGTGGTGAGTGTCCTTCTGCACTTTTCTGTGCTCAAAATATTTGTTATTGCTGCTTACCACAAGCCAAGCTGTTCAGGCAACAAATTCATTCAGCATGTCCGGACATTGCTTGACCTGAATCGTGCAGAATAGCAATCCTACTTCACAATTCCTTTGCGCTGCATTATTGTTTTGTGGAAGTTTGATGGATATTCCACCTCAGTCTACGCATCCATGTCGCCAAACAAGAATACGGCTGAACTGGGCTGGGCGTCTGGCTTGCCACAGGTTGTCTCAATGCTCTGCGAGTCCATCTGGGCATCCGAAACCATGGCATGATTCCCGTCCATTTCTGTCTCTCTACTGTCTCTCTAGATTATCAATTTCTGTCAACTACAGCACTTCAGACTTGTCTAGCAGAGTGGAGCTGTCTCGATTGAGAATCGGAGACTTAGACAGAGAGAGAGAGAGAGGGACTGATCATCCAGAGATGTACCGTAAATCCGTTCAAAGGTATACCCAAGCTGGCAAAAGGCTCCAACAAAATCTATCTTTGGATGGCAACTGTTTATCAAGTTGGTCTCTCTCCAAGCAGTTCATCAAAAAGTTTATCAAGTTGTTTCAAGCATTGGCAGGTCAGCCCAGGCCTTCAGCTTCATCTCGGGGCAGTTTGTCACTATCCATTTTTGACCTGTGAAATCTGGGAAGGTCAAAGTCAAAGGAGTCAAAGGTGCGAAGTTCTGTGCCACATCGGATGCCTTTTCGGCCCAAGAATGCTACTTCTTCACATGTCGTTGGCATACTTGCCAAACAGGCCCAAAAATTGAAGTTTTAAACTTTGTCAAAAGTCAAGAGTTCAAGTGTGTCGCATCCCGAAGCCTATAGTTACAGCATGTTACAGCTAAATCAGATTTTCACGCGAGGAGGCACATGGGCAAGGTCCGAAAATGTCCAAAAGCAGGTGCTGTGTGAGTGCTGTACGAAACGACGATACGAAGAAACTTTCACAGCCCAGGTCAAGTGCCACGGTGTCCACGCAGCGTCCACACACTTCGATGCTTCGATGCTCAGGTGAAGCGGTCAGAGATTGCGCTGCCTGGGATCTTCTTCATTCATTTGCGCTGCAATGTCCAGGTCCTTACAATCGCAAACAGAACTGGACCTTTTTGTGTCATTTTGTGTCTGTTGCATTCTGTTGCCACATCTGAACCTGAAAATCCCGAAGGTTCTGTTCTGATATTTTTTCTGTCTCTGGGTTAATCACAAGAATCTCAGCAGCTTCTGATTTCTGTCGAAAGGAAGTCACCTGGTCAGAATCAAGTGCATGTGTTTCGAAATGGACTGACGCCAACGGTGCTTGCGAAATGAATTGTTTCGTCCATTGGCCAAGATCAATATCCAGCCGCGTCTTTGATAAAAGTTGAATTCTGTACCTTCGCCCGCACGCGCTTGAACTTGGAGAGCTTGAACGGCTCCTGAAGAAAGGAGATCTGCCTAAGTCGGAGTACTTTTTCAACAATTTGATACAATTTGCATCTTCGTATTCCCTCACCTTCCTGTCATCTAGCTATCCTTCTTTGACAGCTAGGGTGCTGCTTTCTCTTTCTATTCAGGCTTCAACATCTGTGTCAAGAGCAGCTCTTCGCTGAGTCGGCGGTCCTGCTTCCATTGTGGGTTGTCCTCTTCCAGGATAGCCTACAAATCAGCTCAGATTGGGAGTGATAGCAGCAGATATCAGATATCGTGGTCAAAAATCAACCGTGCCAAAGCTGAGGACAACTTGAAGTAATGCAGCAAGATCAGCAAGTATCCTGGACTTTGTGGAAAAATGCGATGGCGTTGACACAGCAAGTGCTTCCAACTGCTCTGTGGTCACAATTTAAATCGGTCCGGCTCGTTGATTCGTTGATTCAATTAGCCATTTGCACAGGTTTGAAGATGTTGAATCCTCCACTGTCCGCATCTTTGGGACCGTTTGGGACACAAGCACCTGTCAAACGAAGGCTACCAAAAAAGATAAAAAGAGGACCAAGAAACGATTGATCCTGAATCCACTCCACTGAATCCAGGGCAGCGCTGCCCATGCTTCAGACTGATCTCCATACGTTCACGCGCCGTGAAGGGCTCTCCCCAAACTGGACCTACAATCACAACATGAACCTGCAGAGTCGAACATGGCGTCCCTGGTGTTCCTGAATTGTCAGAGCACTGTGCTTCCATTCCAAGCTTGACGGATCACTATCAACACAACTTTGTTTCAAGCTTGACTTGATCACGGCTTCAAGCTTGGGAGGAAGATGTGAGCTCATCATGCACCAGAAAACTAAGTGTTGTACGTCATGTCGAGTCTTTGAAATCCTTTGACCTTGAAATGTTGAAACCTCCGAACTTCTATTGTGATGGTTTCAGAAAGAAACAAACAGATTGAACTTACAAGATTCATACCGTATTCGCAAAGCTACGAACAACATCGAACAACTTCGCAAGGGGTCTCGGGGATAAACGGTCCAAGTTCCTAGGGCCTTCGTGCAAGTTTGCACGAAAGCCTCAAACTTCTGCGCATTCAAGTAAGGTCAGCTTCCGTCACAAAACCACAGTCTTTGTGGTTTTGAATGCCTCAGTTGCTAAAGAATGCTAAAGGCGTATTGTTTCAATGTACTATGCCATTACTATGCAGTCAAATGATGTCAAATGCACCACAGCTAGACTGAGCCAGACAAGGCATCCAAGGCATCCAAGGGACGGCAACCACAAAGCACACAATCCACAGGGGCGCTCCGCGCTGCTCAGCTGCTCAGTTTCACAGGGCGCCACAGGTAGACATCGCCTCGGGAGACCGGAGACATCCGGAGACCAGACTTGACCAGACTCGAGTGCCGGAATGGCGTCACATGGCGTCACGGTGCAGCTATGTGCAGCTAGAGCTAAGAAAATTAAGAAATGCTGAAACCTCGAAGCACTTTGAAAGAAAGCACTGTATTGAAGATTAGCTGAGCAGGTTCCAGTTCAGATTGAAGTATTGAGACGCATCGACTGCATAGTCAATCCTGAACCTGTCAGCTTTATCAATCTGTTTGCATATTGACAAATGATGAGACGTGGCCACCATTCACTGGAACTTGAGTGCAGCAAAGGCACAGTGTTTGCATTTGCTACAGGCTCCCCGCTTCACACCCATAAAGTCAGCCATGTAACCTTGACAAGATTTATGACAAAACGCGCGAACATGTGAAAGAGATGATTGTCGGGGAGAGCAAAGATTCGTTGCTGTCCTGGATACTACCACAAGTACGCCTGCAAAGTCATCTGCTAGTTTCATTCTAGTATTAGTACATCCTTTCATGCTGTCAACTCTCTCAAAGCCAACCTTGCAGGTGTGTCTTGTGTGTGTGTGTGTTGCATCTGTACGGAGTGCATTCTGCATACCTATTACTCTGCTGCCAGCTGCCCAACGCAAGTAAACTTCCATTGACGTCCAAGAAACCATTCCTTGGAACAAGGGATCTGGTCCAGTCATATCAAGTTTATGATCAAATGTCGACAAACTGTCTCGCTTTATGCAAGTGGTTTTGTCAAGGGATACTGGAGCTTGCACTGAGATGGACTCATACAGCGGTTTCACTTTAAGAGCTGTTTGACCAGTCAAGTCTCTTCTTTGCACGTTGATGAAGGCCCCGTAGCAAAGGATCATTGAGTACTTGTGCTTTTGCCGCCGCTGCCTGCTCTTCCTTGGCTCTTGCTGCATCTGCCTCCGGAAGCCAAATCACACAGCTCTCTCTTTAGAAGTTGCGTGATCTACACTCACTCTACAATGGGACTCTATAAGGACTCTACAAGCATGAGAGTCTTTTGATCAGCACATGTTGCTTCAGCAAGCCACGGACATTGAGCGATTCTGGTTTCAACGCTCATGGTCAACCGATCGTGTCTGCAGTGTTTGAATTCTGATGTGCCCGACTGTTTGATGCTTCCTTGTCCCAGTCTCTCTGCCTTTACTGCAGCACATGCGGCGTATCATACGAATTCAGATTTCATATTATGATCGTACGCTATCATGCATTGTGTGTGTACATTTTAGAGTTGTGCACAAGTTCGCACCTCCGCCTTCTGCTGCTCGTGCTGCTGACGAGCACGTTGCTCTCGCAGCTCCTGCTCCCTGGCCTCTGAACACGCCAACGAGGCCAACGAACTTGTGAATGGAAGCTTTGGAGCAAAAAAAAACAAGGGACATGAAAAGAAGATACAAAGGGAGAAATGAAGACACAAGTGTGGATTCTGTGTCTGTGGCAATTCCTCTGCCACCAGTCCGGCAGAAAGAACCAACACCGAAGTAACTGAGTTCGTTCAGGTACAAAGCAAAACGGGTAGGTTGAAATCGGTGATGCTCTTGTGTACATGATAGGTAAAATGAACAGGGGTTGATTGCAAAATGTTGTCTTGAACAGGTTGCACCACCTATTAAGATCGCGTGTTCCTCATGCTGCTGGAAACAAAATTGATGAAAATGAGGGCTCCTATTATTTTGCACAGACCCCGAAGTTGAACAGAATGGCGTAAAAACCAAAGAATTTTGCCGACCTCAAACAAAAGATATGAAATTGTTTGGACGAAGTGAGCATTGCATTGCGGCTTGACGACAGAACTGTACTGCTATTAGGGTTTCTTGTAAGGTTTGCAGAAGATACAAAACCCCTGCACCTGCAAATGGAACAATTGACCATACCGCAACGATTGTTTCTTTTTAAGGTTTACAATTACAAATACGAAAACTCCCACACCCAAGGAAAAGTTTCACATATTTCAACTGGGGTCTTTGGGGGTTACATAGGGTCTGATGCCCCATCCACATGGAACAATTAACATCAATTAACCATACTGCAATGAGGCTTATTTGAAGGGTTTGAATAAATATCCCACCCCCGTGGAACAAGTAACCATAACATGTTCATCATGTTTGTCATTTTCATCATCATCATCATCATCATCATGATCATCATCATCATCATCATCATCATGATCGTCGTCGTCATCGTCGTCATCATCATCATCATCATCATCATCATCATCATATCGTGGTCATCGTCATTGTCGTCATCATTGTCATCATCGTCATCGTTGTCATCGTTGTCATCTTCATCATGTTGGTTTGCTCGGACGCTCTTTGGGGGTCTGGGCAAACCACAGGGTCTTGCTGTATTATATCATGAGAAAGACTAGTCTATATAAGAGGAAGGCATTGATTTGTGAACTAGACCATTGGTCCTTTCTTGTGGGCAACTTGTCTCCTCTGGGGCGATTCCACGTGCACAGCAAGTCTTGGAACCACATCTAGATGCGGACCAGGGGGGCGATACCCTGCCATCACACGTTTACGTCATCGTACATGACACGCAAAAAACGACCAAAATGCAGACCCTAATCACCACCTAGTTACAAGATTTTGTGCTCACTCGTCAGCCACTGCCCCCTAGACCCCTTAATCTTACTTCGTTTTCGCATGGGACAACTTTAGCCTAGCCTTTGGCTGGCTTTCGTAAAACAGAAAGTCTGGATATGTCTGGATGTACTGAAGATTAAAAAAAAACAACATCAGTACCTGGTCATCTAGTTGAAATCTTTGATGCGCTTCCGCACCTGCTGTGTGACCTTCCTCGTTGCTACGTTGCTATGCAGCTGAGCCAGGAGCTTTTTCCATGTCCATCGAGATGAGCTCATCCAACATCAACTCCTAGCAACTCAAGTCGTTCAGTAATTCAGTAAATTCAGTAAACAGAACAGTCTCTTTCAACTGAGCTTCCTCTACTTGATACTTCTTGAGTGTAAGAACCAGTCCTGGTAGAGCTCATATGGGCCTGCCAGAAACGTGAAGGGAAAGCTGGACCGAGCGACCGAACTCAGAGCGAGCCTTGGATGGTTTCTTTTTCCCAAGGCCGAGCTCTGTGTCGCAAAGTTGCGCATTGCGTCATTGCCTTAGAGACGGCAAACACGGCAAGGGTCTTGTTCAGCCCAAGCCCAACTCATGAAACATCGCTTCAGGTTTTAAGAGAACTGCGCTCCGGGACACCATGCCAAGCAAATTCAGTAAACAATATTTCTTGCACACTATTCTTGAAACCAAATGCGCACGGCAACAAACAACCCTTCAAATATCCGATGGTTGTGAACAATTGCTGCACCTCAAACTGCGCAGGCAGTCACGTGTCAAGCGTTTCCATTCAAATCTAAGTTCTCAACATATTCTAATTTCGTCAAATCCTGTTTACAAGAAGCAAGTCGCTACTATGCTCACTGACTTTGCGGATGAGCAGTGACTGCAGCTAAACATTGAAAAATCCAACAGATGTGCAGTCCTCACGCGAAACGTAGCCTGAGTTGCAACACTTGTGACAAAGTCGAGTGTGTGCGAGATAGGCTGGTCGGAAATTGCTTCGGGATCTTTTTGGACAAGTGTTCGTTATTTCTGTCTTGGTACTGACTGTTTGCCTTGTATTCGCAACATTTCGGAGCCTGAACTTGTCAATTTGCATAAGATTTGCCAAAGCGTGGAGCTAAAACTAAACCTTTCTTTCTCATGGTATTTGCAGCACTGGAGCTAGAATCTGTCATTTTGTAAGCTTTTGGAAGCATTATGGAGCAGGAACCTCTCAATTTGCATGGGATTTGCAACACTTTGGAGCTATAGTAAAACCGTTCATTTGCATGATGTTTGCAACAATTCCGAGCAAGGCCAAAACCTGTTATTTTGAAGACTTTTGGCAGCATTTTGCAGCTAGAACTTATCAATGTCCATTAAAATGTGATACATAATGAGGTAAGGCAAGGTAACCCCCCATGAAGAACTCAGACAAATACTATAATGCCAATAAAGAAAGACAAGAAGATAAGAAAATGGTACCAATGAGAATAATAAGAAACATAACATAAGTTAAGCTAAATAGGATAAAATCAGATCAGATATATAGAATAAGGCAAGATAGGTTAGGTAAGACAGGTTTAAAATATCTTAAAATGCACGCGGGGGGTTGGAGGAAGGCGCAGCCCACCCAATTAATGAAGAACACAGACAAATAAGACAAATAAAGGAACATAAGAAGACAGATAAGAAACGGAAGGGCGGTAAAGCAGCACTAGAGACACTTGTTGCAGTCAAGAAGCGAATGGCTTTTGATGGGCATTCACCAATCGCCTCGACAACTCAAAGCAGGGTCAAACGGAGTCAAATCGAGTCCAGGGCCAACTCCATTATGAGAACATGACAGAACACATCAGAACACGGCCTCTCGCACCACGTAACGGTCGTCACCGTACTGCAAGGTCACGAAAGCCTTGCCTCTGCGAAGACGACCGGACACCCTGGTCACTAAAACAGCCCTGTAGGTTGCCACTTTCCTTCTCGTTTTCTACTTCTGGTCAATTCATGTCAATTCATTCTATCGTTCTGCTCCAACCCAACGAAGCTTGTGTTCAACGCAGCATGTCTTGTCATGTCGAAGGCCTTCTCTAACTGGATTGTCATGGATCTCAAATGTAGAGGATGCAATGTTCACACACCTAAGAACCAGGATCGACATTGCTTCTGTTAAAGTCTGTCATTCACGGCTGGCCCGCGCAAAAAAATACTCTGGCGTTGTGCCCCTGGCCTGTAGCACTGCTCGCATTTGGTCTCCTTGGCTGAGAAAGTTTGAAATCTTTGGGTCAGAATAAAACATCTTTCCAGCTCTGCCTGAGACTGCAGTTGCAGCTCAGGCGCATCAACAAAAACTCCCATGGCAAACTGGGGTGCGTCCTGGCCGACGAAACAACTAGAAACGATAGTATGCAATCTCTGCAGGATTCGAAAAGAAACAACACAAACCACTCAATCAAAAATGCAGAAACAACTTCTGCCAGCTACAAAGCTGGTCCTCAGACCAATTGCTCTTCGACAAGCTTGGTTTGGCTTTGCGAAGTTTCTCATCCTCACCAAAGCATGGACTTGAGCAAAATGATCTTGGAAATTGCACACTAGTCTTGGTGATCAGTCTCTTGCCAATGGCAAAACTATACTCAGATCTCTACGTATTCTTCTTTTTTCTCTTGATCGCTCAGCATGGTGCAGGCCTGGAAAAAAGGCATGCGGTCATAGGAAACAATTCATCCACAGCACCAAGTACTTCAGCATCCACATCGAGCCTCTGTTACAATGCTCTGAAGGTCTGAAGAATCAGCCCCCAAAATGTCAGGGTGAACCTTGGCAAGTCACATCGCCGTTTCACTCGGCTTGGTACGCTTGGTATAAGTCTTCCTTTCCCAAAACCACGGTGTCCTTAGGCACTTGGTATCAAGGAGCAACTGTTTCCACAAGGACTCATTTCGGCGAACGCAAAAGATGGTCCAAAGCACCTCGTGTGCACTTGCTATCTTCAGGTCAACACTATCTACGGAACAAACAATGAATGTCACCTCGCATCCGGAACAAATGAACAGGTATATGTCATATGTACATTATGTACACTATGGTGCCACCTTCTCACCTCCAGATTTGGTAAGTACTGGCATTGAGCGTGATGTTTTCAGATCTCCCGTCTTTAAGTAATTGGATCGTGTCAAGGCTGTAAAAGCTGGTATTTCTCAACGTTTTTCAAGTAGCTGGCTAACATGCAGAACCGATGTGTTTAGGATGGTTTGGACGGATCGAAATTCAGACACTACTTGCATCCTATGTTTCCTGGCGTGACATGCACCCACAACCGAGACAAACAGCCTGCTTCATGGCGTGCTCATGCAAGCATAGTCATAGCTAACCACAGGAACAACTGGAATGGCCTCACCGAAGATACCTAGCCTTTACAGCATTGCCAGTGTGCTAAGCTCTACGATAAGTTAGTAGCAGGTGCTTAGACATGGTGAGCGGCAGCGCCACCAACTGCTGGGATCTCGATGACTCTCAGGATACTCAGGATATAGTTGCACCATGTTGCACCATGTTGCAGTACAGTACTGTTGCACCCCAACCGGTTCAACCATCTGAAAACCTCAGGTCCCCGACCAGTTTTACCATTCTCCGATGTGCAGCTTTGATCTCCTTGGGGTCTGACCTCAAGTAAAATGATGGTAGGATATGGTTGGCGTGAGAGAACTATCAAGGTGCAGCATGGAACAAAAAAAAACGATCTGCGGACCGGATCTCTAACTCCACCATACTCCACCGTACTCCACCCTTCTGCTTGATTTAGTTTCCACGCGTGAAGAGCAGCAGCCCGAGAAGTCCTTTGGAGCGGACAAAAGACTGCTCAGACTGGTGGTCACCTTTGAAATCTCTGACCTTGCAAATCAAATTCCAAAAAGATCTAAAAATGACTGAGCCTTCTAGGTTTGATAGCTACCCAGCAAAATTCTATCTTGTCAGCATCCCAGAAACACTGGTTTTCTAGTCTACTGTTTGCTTGGAAGCTGAGTAGTTCAATACTTTACAGTAAACGTTCTTACACTTTCCTGTCCTCTAAAAAGCCACAACCCATACACAAGGAACAGGCATCCCCAAAGCCAGAGTAAATGGCACAATGCTGGTGCAACCCTTTCTGCGTGTGAGCTTTGCTTGACTCCAAAAGCTGTCAATTCAATAGTCAAGTTCGCTTCAAAAAGAGTGCTAGGCTGCTAGGCTGCTAGGCTTCGGCGATACGACTCAATGTTGCTCCGTTTATCTAGCTATTGTGTCCGATTCAGCCCAGTCACCATAGTACTCAGTCGGTATGGCCTTCTGAGCTACCTGCAAAACACTATAGCTGCTACTTTTGGAACATGCTGGCCATGCTGGCCAGGCAAGTTGTCCTCTGGACAAACCACTGAAGCTGGGTGAAAAAGGAACGGCAGACTAAGACAAGAAAATCAAAATAGAAAAAGCAAAGCATGTGGTGCGCTCAGAAGAGCACAGCAAAGTATGCATGAGTGAATCCTCTGCAGCTTTGCCTTCGTGCTTAGGGCCAGACCCGCCGCAGACATGCAGCTCCAAGAAAAACTGTGCATCCCAGTGCCTGTTTCCGAGCATGGCAAAGAATTGTACACAGGTCAGGGTCTGGCAGTTTGCCTCTGACCTCTCTTTGTAGAGTTCGGAGCCTGGATTCTAGCACTGCCACTTGCACGGCTCGCATTGCTTATGTGGCTTGCATAAAATCTTTGGCCTCGATGTTTGACGAGCTGTAAACGCAGCTGTGAGAACTGCTCAACATCTGGATTGTAAATCAACTTGCACCAAAAAAACTTCTTTGAAGGGCAAGACTTCTGCGCGCAGGCACGGAAGAACTTGCCGGCGCAGTCCTGAGGCTCTGCAACATGCAAATGCTGCAAGCTGTTAGTCATGGTCACACCATGCAACACCACACACGAACATTTCGCCCATCAGTCAACTCCTCAAATTTGGTACCTGCAGCTGGCTAATGTGCAGCAGCATGGCGCAAAACGCCCTAGTTAGGACAGCGCTCCCTAGGAGTTGTGAGTTTTGAAGCTGTATGCCTGTTTTTTGATCATTTGTTCAAAATGAGCGCCAGTTGTAAATGTGGCACATGGCACATTTTGTTTGGTGTTCTAGATATCTAAAGGCATCTGAAGGTCAGGAAAAATGTCCCCTGTAGCATCGTACTCTTATGATCTCTTATGAATGCTGTGCTCTTCGACCAGCAAGAGCCAGGGGGGGCAAAAAAAATATTTTGACCATTTTCCTCTTTTTTTTCATTTCATTTCTCTCATATCCATTTATAGTAAGCTCAGCTTAATCCAAAACACAGCGGTTTTTGTCTTTGCAGATTCTTCCGAATGTTGAGGCACTTGCAGTGGCCCTTCACGTGAGCAGTATCAAACACCTGGTTGCGAACCAGTTCTACTGGTTTGCTTACAGTTTTTTCAATATTGGATGGCTGCCTGATCCCTTTTCAACAAGTTAATAGAACTCCAATAAGTCAATGGGTTTTTGACGCTGCTAGCTGAGGATTGGCGGTGCTTTATATGCTTTATTGTGCCCGTTGGGCAATGCTTTATTGTGCCCGATGGGCAACCAGTGGATTTGTTATTGATCAGCGTCGAAGGAAGAAAGAATCTATGTGGGATTTAATTTGCGAATATATTCAATGATTATCTCCGTATTTTGCTCTATATATATATACATATATATGCACACTAAAAGCTAGAAAAATGTCAAACAAATTAATTAGTTTTAAATCCTGGTTTCCGATGTTTCAAACCAATAGCGTCCCTGAGTGCTTGAGGCAAAATCTGTACAAACAGCTACGGACGACCATAAAGATGCTGAAAAATGACAAAAAAATCCAAGCTCATACTGAAAGAGCTAATTTCTGTAGCTTTCCAACTAAGACTTAGAATGTCAAGAATGCTCATATTGAAACAAATTCCAAGGTCAAGCTCTCGAAGAACATGTGGCAAATTCACAGTTTCAAACCTCCGACTGACATATTCCGAGCAATCCAAACTTTTGGGACGAAATGGAGTGAAAAAGATTTGCGTGCGTCCATCCTTGTTGGTGCTAGTCTTCTCAAGCATTTGGGAGTTTTTTGCCCAACAGCGTAAGCTTGGGGTCTTCAGCCATAGTAAAGGTTCCGGAGCAGGTCGGAGCAGCCAAATCCGCTGGGAACCGGGTTCCCAGGAAGGTTCCCAGGAAGAGTTTCCTTTTACGAGCGGATCCCTCGGAGCAGCCAAATCGGTATGGCGCAAGGTTGGGAACTGGGTTCCCAGGAAGAGGTTCCCAAGCAAGGTTTCTCAGCAAGGTTCCCAGCAAGAGGTTCCCAAGCAAGGGTTCCCAGCAAGAGGTTCCCAAGCAAGGTTCCCAGGGAACAGGTTCCCAAGCAAGGGTTCCTATAGCAAGAGGTTCCCAAGCAAAGTTCCCAGGAACAGGTTCCCAAGCAAGGTTCCCAGGCAAGGTTCCCAAGCAAGGTTCCCAGGAAGAGGCTCCTAGCAAGAGGTTCCCAAGCAAGGTTCCCAGGAAGAGGTTCCAAGCAGGGTGCCCAAGCAAGGTTACTAGGCAAGGTTACCAGGAACAGATTCCCAAAGCAAGGGTTCCCAGGAACAAGTTCCCAAGCAAGGTTCCCAGGAACAGGTTGTCAGGAACAGGTTCCCAAGCAAGGGTTCCTAGCAAGAGCTTCCCAAGCAAGATTCCCAAGCAAGGTTCCCAGGAAGAGGTTCCAAGCAAGGTTCCCCGGCAAGGTTACCAGGAACAGATTCCCAAGCAAGGGTTCCCAGGAACAAGTTCCCAAGCAAGGTTCCCAGGAACAGGTTGCCAGGAACAGGTTCCCAAGCAAGGGTTCCTAGCAAGAGGTTTCCAACCAAGGTTCCCAAGCAAGGTTCCCAGGAGGTTCCCAGCAAGAGGTTCCCAAGCAAGGGTTCCCAGGAACAGACCCCCAAGCAAGGTTCCCAGGAACAAGTTCCCAAGCAAGGGTTCCTAGCAAGACCCAGGAAGAGGTTCCCAAGCAAGGTTCCCAGGCAAGGTTACCAGGAACAGATTCTGAAGCAAGGTTCCGAGGAACACATTCCCAAGCAAGGGTTCCTAGCAAGAGGTTCCCAAGCAAGGTTCCCATGAACAGGTTCCCAGCAAGAGGTTCCCAAGCAAGGTTCCCAGGAACAGGTTCCCAAGCAAGGTTCCCAGTTCCCAGGCAAGGTTATCAGGAACAGATTGCAAGGGCCCCCGATATTTTCAGGAAGAGGTTCCCAGGCAAGGTTCCCAAAAGGTTCCAAGCAGGGTTCCCAGGAACAGATCCCAAGCAAGGGTTCCCAGGCAAGGGTTCCCAAGCAAGGGTTCCCAAGCAAGGGTTCCCAGGAAGAGGTTCCCAAGCAAGGTTCTCAGGAAGAGGTTCCCAAGCAAGGTTCCCAGGAATAGGTTTTGCAAGCACGGATTTCAGTAACTGTTTTCAAGGTTTCCAGGCAACATTTCCCCAGCAAGATTTCCAGGAACATGTTTTTCCCAAACAAAAGAAATTTCCCAGAACAGGTTTTCAAGCAAGTGTTTCCAGGAAGAGGTTTCCAGGAAGAGGTGTCCAAGCAAGGTCCCAGGCAATGCCTTCAGGAAGAAGTTCCCAAGCAAGGCTCCCAGCCAAAGGTTCCCAGGAACAGGTGCCCATACAAGGTTCCCAAGAACAGGTTCACAAGTAAGGTTCCCAAGCGCGTTCCCAAGCAAGGTTCCCAGGAACAGAGTCTCAAGCAAGGTTGCTAGAAAGAGGTTCTCAAGCAAGTTTCCCTGGGAACACTTGCTCGTGGAAATTTTGCTGGGGAACCAGCTCTTTCTGGGAACGCTTGCTTGAGAACTTGTTCCTACGAGGCTTGTTCCTGCTTGGAACTTTGCTTGGAAACGGTTCCGTGGACCTTGCTCGGGAACCGTTTTTGGGAACCGTACTTGCAAGCGGTTCCTAAGAATTTAGCCTTGCTTGGGAACCTCTTCCTGGATACCTGCTTGGGAGCCTCTTTTTGGAAACTTGCTCAAGCGTACGTAAGCAGCCACCCCAAGAACAAGATTTCCAATCAAATTTTCCAGGAACAGGTTCGCAAGCAAGGTTACCAGGAAAATTCCCAAGCCAGGTTCCCAAGAACAGGTTCCTAGGCCAGGTTCCCAAGCAAGGGTCCTGGGAACAGGTTTCCAAGCAAGGTTCGCAAGACCAGGTTCCCAGGCAAGGTTCGCAAGAACAGGTTCACAAGCAAGGGTTCCAAGAACAGTGCCCCAAGTTCCCAAGCAAGGGTTCCAAGAGCAGGTTTCCTTGCAGGGTAGCAAGGTTACCAAGCAAGGTCCTTGGGAACAGGTTCCCAAGCAAGGTTGCCACGAACAGGTCCCCAAGCAAGGTTTGCAAGCAAGCTTCTCAAGAACAGGTTCCCAAGCAAGGGTTCAAAGAAAAGGTTCCCAAGAACTGGTTCGGGTTCCAAGAACAAATTCTCTAGGAAGGTTCCGAGCAATAGGTTGCCAGCACGGTTCCCACGAACACGTTCCCAAGCATGGTTTCATGTTGCTCATGTTCCCAGGAACAGCTTTCCAAGAACAACTTGCAAAGCGAAATTTCGAAGAACATCTGCAAGCAAGGTTGGAAGCAAGAACAGAATCCCAAGCAAGGTTCCGAAGGACAGCTTCCTAAACAAGGTTCCCAAGCAAAGATACGAAAAACAGGTTCCCGAGCAAGGTCCCAACGAACAGGTTTGAAGCAAGCAGGCAAAGTTTCCAAGAACAGGTTCCCAAGAGAGAGTTCCCAAGAACCGGTTACCAGGCAATGCTCCCAAGAGCAGGTTCCTAAGAATAGGCTCCCAAGAACAGGTTCCCAAGCAAGGCTCCCAAGAACAGGTTCCCAAGCAAGGTTCCGATAAACAAGTGTCAAGCAACGTGTCCAAGAACATTGAACAACAGAATCAGAATACCGCAAAGTTTGAAGACTTGTTCTAATAACGGAACGGAGAGATTGAAGAAGAACTAGTTTTGCTTCAAAAAATGATACGGCACCCGCACATGGATAAAAACACTAGACGACAGCGTGGCATGAATGAAAGCAGGAGGGAGGAGACGAGAAGATAATACACAAGAAAAATGATGATGGTGATTATGATGACGGCAATGATGATGGCGATGGCAATGACGAGGATGAATGGCGATGGAGATGATGATGAATGATAGCTGATAGCTGACGCGAGTCAACTGTCATATATCCACGATTTCATGCCTGTTTTGTCCCTGCAGAGGGTTTGCTCCAGGGCTGGCACCTAAGTGAGAGTCAGAATTAAAAGACATGTTGTCTTCACACAGCGAAAAAAAATTACACAGAGAAGATTTTACACGCAGAAGCCTTTACACAGAGAGGGATTTACACAGAGCAGCTTTACACAGACGCTTTTGACACAGACGCTTTTACATACAGAAGCTTTTACACAGAAAAGCCTTTTCTAAAGAAGCCTTACCACATGAAGCCTTTACACAGAGCAGTTTTACACACAGACGCTTTTTCACAAAGAAGCTTTTACACACAGGAACTTTAACGCGCAGATGCCCAAGCTTTTACACACAGGAGCTTTTGCACACACACACACTAGACAAGAATGGATCATTATATGCTCCGGCAGGAACTGAATCCTGAAACATGCAGATTAGATACGAAACAATGAAATTAACGATGCATCCTACGAATAATAGAAGTTCTTCTGAATGATCTTCGTGTCCAGAAACGACATCAAAAAGAATAAAAAAAAACAGCAATAATATCATCGGCGATGTCTCGGCGAAGATTAGCCAATAAGTAACTGTCGGCGACGATGGTGTCGGCGATCATGTAAACAGATTGTTCCAAGTATGTTTTCTACGTCCTTGCTCTGAGGAAGGTTCTGATGCAACTGAACCAATAGTAAATGACCAAAAGTAATTCCAGATTGCGACAACAGCGCAGCAAATTGTATAATATTGTGGTTGGGGTTCTAAGCTTGGCCCCTTGCTATGTC